GCTTGATTTTATTACTAAACTTAACTAGATGATAAGATTTATTGGAGTTTTATTCATCTCTCAAAGTTGACCATAACTTTATAAGAATTAAGAACTCATCTCCGTGTCAACATTAATTTGTCACGCCTCATCAACAACTTCTTGAAACATTGAAAACTCCATATAAGAAAATGAGATTATGAAAGGTGAGAATAGTCTCACCATTAATAGATTCGATCTAACATATAAAAAAATGAAAAATAAGCACAGTGGAAGATTTGGATTTTTTTAGTAAAATAATAACGACCATCTGAAAGATTCTCCTTTATTCATTATTTCATTAAACTTTTGAATTCGATTTTGTCGCAATACAAGACAAAATAAATTGTTAAAAACTCCGTCGGTTCATCCATTATTATAAAATAAAGTCAAAAACCCTACAATTTTCACGTGGCCAGTAACTATTAGTACACGTCAGTAAGGTGAAAAAAAAAACATCGATGTTGAAACCAAACCTTGAAGAAAAAAGACATAACACCACCATGTCTGTTGTTATTGTTAGCTTTGGTCTTACTCCTACACAGCCAAACAGAGAGAAGAAGCACTAGTAGAAGAAGATCAGAGTCTTAGTCCTAACTTTAGATTAATCATCACAGAGCATGCGTGACACTTGAAGCTTATCATCATCAACAATGAGTTCTACTCTGTTCTCCATCACGTGACCATTGCAACTTTCTCTTCTCTCTCTCTCCGTCGTTTCTTTAAAATAAAAAAAAAAATTCCGTGACGCACGGTGGTCCATGGCGGTGGATGTTGAATCCGTGCTTCAGTTTCTCCGACGTAACGGCTTAACGGAGGCTGAATCTGCTCTGAGAGACGACATCAACGAGAAGAACGAGCTCGCTTCTTTCGACTTTGAGAAGTTTCTGTTCCCGCTTCCTCCGCCGATCAGAACCTCCGTCGAAGATTCCGGCGATAACGGGTCGACGAAGTCTTCTTCCTCTTCCGACGACGAGTTTGTCAGCTTGGACTCTTCCACTTCCGGCTTCTGTTCTTCTTCCGGTAACATTTAGACCAAATCTGTTCTGTTTCTTGTTTCTTGATTCTTGATTCTTGATTCTTGATTCTTGATTCTTGATTCTTGATTCTTGATTCTTGATTCTTGATTCTTGATTCTTGATTTTTTGATTCTTGATCTGAGTTCAACGCATGGAAGCTCAAATGCAGGTTTTGTGAATCCGTATGGAGAAGGTTCATCATCATCATCTGAATCACAGTCTCAGTTTGGTACAGCTCGTACTTATCCTGACTGGAGTGAGTTTTACTCGCAGACAAAGGAAGAGACAGAAGATGAAGAAGAAGATGAGTTCATGTCTCCTGCTTTTAGAGAATCTGATTTCTTCATCTGTCCTGTAACTACAGAGGATAAGTTCATCACAGACAACCAATTTGAGAATAACAAGCTTGGTGTCTACGATAAATCATCAGAAGGATCTCAAACCGAAACAAGTCTTGATTACTTAGATAAGAATTTTCTTGTTAACAATGTTGAGGATGACTTCATTGGTTTGGATGATAAAACTGCTGAAATCCAAGAAGAAGAAGAAGATGCAAAAGACAATGATGATTTGAAGACTGGTGATCAAGTGAATGTAATAGATGAAGAGGTTAATGTTGTTCATGACCTTGAAGAAGAGGAGTATGAAGTGTTTGATCTTAGAATTATTCACTGGAAAAATAGGTATGATGACATTTTCTTTCTGAATATAGGCTACTGAAGCATTAACCTATAACTCCTAAAGTTTTAATAAAATTTGTATATTACATAAGCCCCCAAATTTGTAAAGAAAAATTATATAAACAATTACTAAATAAATTGTATATGTCTCAAAATCTCAAGATCGGTCCTGGATGCAATGAAATGTGTAATGATATGTTGTGGTGTTGTTTACAGGACGGGGTTCGAAGAGAACAAGGATCTACCAATTGTGCTGAACTCAGTGATTGGAGGAAGATACTACATTACTGAATACATTGGCTCAGCAGCATTTAGCAAGGTGGTTCAGGCTCATGATCTACAAAACGGTGTCGATGTTTGCCTCAAGATTATCAAGAACGACAAAGATTTCTTTGATCAGAGTTTAGACGAGATTAAACTCTTAAAACATGTCAATAAGCATGATCCTGCTGATGAGCATCATATCTTGCGCCTCTATGATTACTTCTACCACCAAGTAAGACATCTTAAAATACATTTGTCTGTTCTCAAGAAGTCTCTGATGTTTGTCTGTAAACAGGAGCATCTTTTTATAGTCTGTGAACTTCTAAGAGCAAACTTATATGAGTTCCAAAAATTCAACCAAGAATCTGGGGGAGAACCATATTTTAGCTTAACCAGACTTCAGGTTATAACACGGCAGTGTCTGGATGCTCTTGTGTTCCTTCATGGACTAGGAATCATACATTGTGATCTCAAACCAGAGAATATACTTATCAAGAGTTACAAAAAATGCGAGGTGAAAGTCATTGATCTTGGAAGCAGTTGTTTCCGCTCTGACAACTTGTCCCTGTATGTACAATCACGTTCCTATAGAGCTCCCGAAGTGATTCTTGGACTTCCATATGATGAGAAGATTGATTTGTGGTCTCTTGGTTGTATTTTAGCAGAGCTTTGCTCTGGTGAGGTACTGTCTCGTTTCCATTTAAAAGCTTGTCTATATATAGAGAAACTTGTAACATGAGTTTTATATGTTCATCAGGTTCTGTTTCCAAATGAAGCAGTAGGGATGATATTGGCTCGAATTGTTGCGGTTTTGGGTCCTATAGAAACGGAGATGCTAGAGAAAGGTCAAGAGACTCATAAGTACTTCACCAAAGAGTTTGATCTCTACCACTTAAACGAGGTAATTTTGTATTGATTTAGCTGTAAGAAGTAAGGCCTTGTTGCTAGAGTTTGATGCATTGTTGTTGTGTTTGTGTTGTAGGAGAGCAATGAGATTGAGTATATAATCATAGAAGAATCTTGCTTGGAAGATCAGTTGCATGTTAGTGATGAACTGTTCTTAGATTTTGTAAAAAGTCTACTTGAGATCAATCCATTGAGACGTCCAACAGCTCTTGAGGCTCTTAACCATCCTTGGCTCTCTTCTTCATACAAATGATTTTTGAGTTTTGTTTTTGGCTTCTTTGTGTTTCCTTCTCTCTGTGATTCTTTGTTTCTGGTCTATTTTTCCTTTATATTGTGTTTTTTCTAATTGTGTATAGAACTGTTTACATTAATTTCACATTGTAAATAAAAGATTATGTTTGGTTGTTCTATATATCCAAACTTAAAAAAAAAACTAAATATTGGACCAACGACCAGAATGTTAATACTATGATGACAAAATAGGATACATCATTCATTGTGTCTACTCTCCGCACCAAATACCAATAATGAGTTGTGGTAGTTGGAACAAACTTCCAATGTAGCATAATACATACTCCCTCCGTTTCAAATTATGTCATTCTAAAGTAAAATTTTTCGTTTCAAAATAAGTGTCGTTTTATAATTTAAATGTAAAATTTATTGATTTGAAATGTTATTCTATTTTCCCATTGGTTGAAAAGTGATTAGGTGTATAGGTAATTGTGTTTTTATTTTAAAAACATCTAAAATTTATTGTTTTCTTAATTTGTGTGAAAAAACCTAGAATGACAACTAAATTGAAATGAATGGAATATCATCATAAATAAATACTAACAAAATACAACAAACAAAGCAATTTATTAGTAGTTTCTTTTTGCATGTCATTTGATTATACAGATTGCAAAATGTCAAAGGTATAAATACGAAAGTGATGTGCTCCAAAAGAAAATAGAAAATTGATCATGTCAATATAAAATTTTCTTTATGTTTGCTATTGTGAGTAGAAAACCAAATAATAAAAATAAATATTTTAATATGTTTATAGTTATTAAATCGTGTTTGATAATATAATATTATTTTAATTATGCTATTTTATATAGAGTAGCTAATATTTAAAAGAGAAGACTTAGAAAATATATGATTAGATAAAATTTGACATTATTGCATGTCATGAAATCTTGTTCGAATATGCTAAATTGGTAAGATGTTGTCTTAACTATGCGAGGTAGATATATTATTGCATGTTATCAATTTAACGTATTCAAGACCAGATTTATATCCTTGTGGAACATTTAGTTGGTCTATAAATTATACTCTTTCCGTACAAAATATGTTTTGGTGAAGATAAATAAATTAAGAAACTTACTTTTTAATGATATTATTATTAATAATAAAATTTAAAATAAATCGATTGATCATAAATAATGTAGTAAGATTATTAATCAATCAATCTTTAATAAAGTTAAAATTGTCTTAAAAGTAACAAAAATCATATATTTTGAAACGTTAGCTTTTTCTAAATTAACTTTTATTATGGAATGGAGGGATTTACACGTAGTTCTTAACTTGGATGAGACGTCTAGAATACCTGCTAATTTACGTACCAAGTTACTGAAGCTGGATTGGATTGGTTCAGGCTAGAGTGCATATCATCAAGTCATCAACCAAGGTTTTTTCTTACATAACAAATGTTTATTGGTCTTTAAGTCACTTTATTGCATTTGTTGGTGTGCAAGTAATCTCACTTCTGTCTCCTTAATGCCCAAAATCGCCTGTCTTTTTAGATGATCGATTCTTTATGACCTACTGGACTTGTCAACCATGTCATTTTATGCTTTATAATATATGGTCTACATGACCACATGGCCAGTTAAAAAGATAAGATAATCTGAAACTCACATAATTAACACAATTTTGTAAAAAAATAATTCATAAACAACAAATACCCCATAATCAGTAGCATACCCAAAACTATAATTAGAATCCTCGAAGACAGACTCAATCAAATCCTCGTATAAGGACACTAATTATGAATTAATGACCCTAAAAACCCTTTCCGTACCTTTATTTCCAGTACCACAAAAAAAAAAAAAAACACAAACAACTGAAAACCCTAATTAATTTGGTCCAAAATCTCCTTACCCAGCGGTTTCGTTATAGTAGAATGCGTAGCCTTCTGAATAACGAAGCAAATCTCACGAGTGTCTCTCTTCCTAAACATCCAAATATGTAGAAAATCACAATGCTCCTTGAGATCACATGTTTCTGCGAACGTTTTCCATCCCGAAGTCAACACAGGCGTGCCCTTGCACCACATCTTGAATGTCATATTATTCTGAACCAACATACCTTTTTCGCTACGTCCGTACACCGAAACGTTAAGCCCTTCTGTCAATCGCTGAATCTCAGAAGCATTTAAAAGAGGACTTGTCTTATTCTTCACTTGATCCTTCCCTAACATGAGCCTACATAGATCCTTCTTCACGTCACTCACCGTCAGCTGCTTCTTAATCGGTTTACTGAAAGGCTCCACCAAGTCAACATCACCATTGGGTATATTCTCCCTAGGGTTGGGCTCACTTCGGTTCCATGCCTGAATAATCATTAGGGTTTCCATGGAATTGTCTACCTGATATCGTATATCTCGCCTTAGTGCTATTAATGTTTCCGCAGCTTCTCTATCTTCTCGTGTTATTATAAATTTTTTGGTTTCCTCTGTTGGAGTCGCCATGATGAGCTGCCGTGTATTCTCTACCTCTATGTTTCTCTTTCGTTGAGTATGCAACAAGTCTGCCTAGGGCTTTTCTTTTCTATTTGTCTCTTATTTCTATTGTGCTTGCATAAGTTTCTCCTTCGAACAATATAAATAAAAAATAATTTTATTTTCGTTTTTTTTTAACTTGTAGATAAACTTCCTTTTATTCGACTTTGTAATTTTAATTGTTATTTTTCATTGAGATATAGTCAGTTATTTTTCATTATGCTGTATTTAAAAGATTTGAACAATTATCGAATCTAGTTATTAGAAGGTGTTGACCATGTTTGATGATGATATCAATTACTAGTAAATTATCTCGATATGTATGTTTTAATCTAAATGAATTAATTTATTAGACTGGTTAGTAAAAATTAACTCGTTCAATGTTAATCTTAAATAAGTTAATTACAATAATTAAAAATAAGCAAGGCTAAATAAGTAAAAAAAAAAGTGTTAAATAAAAACCATGATCGAAACAACCTTCAAACAGTTGGCAAATTATATTTCAGCTAAACGAGAAAGGTAAATAGTTATATGATAGTTCAGCTAAACTATTTACATTTCTCATTTTAGTTACCTATTTAGTTTTTTTTTTAATTCAGCATCTTACCTATTTAAAAAAAAATAGTAAACCACTCTTTAGCAAATGAATGTTAAATCACCGGTAGTCACACGTTAGAGACATCCCACGCAGACATCCCACGCGGCCATGCTTATTTACGGACTGCAAGACACAATTATGGCACAAATTCCTAATTATTTTGGTCCCCACATATTATAAAAATAATTTGTTGCTAAGGATTAGCATTGCAGCTGCTCTTACCTATTTAGTTTCTCATTTCAGCATTTTACCTAATTTTTTTTCTTCCATTTCAGCATTTTTCCTATTTAGCTAATTAGTTATATTTCCTTATATAAAACAGCCCCTTTAGTTCACCCCCATTGCCCAAGGAATCGGCTGTTTATGACGACGAGTAAATTAGTAAAGAAATTCATTTTGATACAAAAAAAAAAGACAAGAGAAGAAGAAAATAAATTTACATTCGTTAAACCCTTATTTTTCGTTAAACCCTTATTATACGACTTGATAAGAAAATGTTTGAAGACGTTCAAGCTCGCTCTCTATCTCAAATTCTTCCAAGCAAAACTTCTTCTCATATAAAGCGAGCTTATTCGGCTCATAGGCCAGTAATGATTTTGGCCTCGCCCATCGCTAAAGATTTCATGAACAAATCTAAACATATGAACGCAAAACATGTTTTAATTTTTAAGTTCTAAACCATTTTAATCATACAAAGATAAACGTGTTAAATAAGAATGTCAATATAGAAGATAAAAGTGTCCCTAGTTGCAGATTCGCCCCTATTTTTCCGGGAACTAATCAGCAATATTAGTCTCTCTGTTAATCATCATCATTATCATTAGTATCAGTCTTGACTTTTTCAATCAGTTAAAATCAAATCAAACAAAGATTGATAAACACACAAAAATATGAAGAATATACAGAGAAAGCAGCAACGATGTTCTTCCTTGATCACAGCCGCGACCTCCTCCAAGCTTCCTCAGTGTTATATTTTGTTTCTAAACATAAAATTTCCTTTTCTTGAAGCTGTTGATGTGAAAGATTATATGTTTTGTACTTTGATCCAAAAAAGAAAAAAGATTACATGTTTTGTGTTAAATCTGGCTTGAAAAATTGATGCAGAGGATCGAAAACAAACAATTTAATAAGCTGAATATCATCACCCTGATGTAAATTTATATACATCTCAGCTATAAGAAACATATTTTTCAGATTCCAGTATGGATCATCTTACATAAGATTTTCCATATTAAACAAAATGTAGACTCTATAATTACATTTCACTTCAATATGATAGGTATTACAACACTATTGGAGATATGAGAGCTAAGATCCATTTGATCTTCAAGCTACATCATTATACAATATCTCAAAATCTTTTCTTAAATGGTGCATCCATTTGCTATTAAACCAAATCATTCGAAGATGAAACGCATAAGTAGCTTTACTGATTTCATTTTCTCACCCTTCTTATCATACAAAGGCACAGATCGAATCCCCGGTCTTAATTCCGAAACAGGCAAGCATGTTTGTCCACCAAAGTCATCTTTATCAGACATATCGTACTCGCTGACTTCGATCCTAAGCAATGCAAGCTCTGGAACTGTTAATGGGAAACTGAACTCCTCATCCCAAATTGGATACCAATTGTCTTCAATTACTCTTGTTTTCCTCTTTGCGTTATCTGCTGGTACACCCACTATGTACACCTACATAAGCTCACAAAAACCGCAATCTATTAAGGTTTTCAAGGAGTTTAAAGAATGTTAGAAAGAACCTTATGTAGTGTGAAACTGATATATATTACCTTAGTGTAGAAATCAGGAGGAGAATATGAGTCGAAATGTGTGTGACTGAAGTCTAGACGCCATCCATCTCCCATATATACTTTCACCTATTAAAAAAACGCATTAAAATGATAAGGCACATGTATATGTATATCATCAAAGTATGTATATTTCTGTTGGCTTGCCTTTAGTGTTTCTTTTACAGGAAGTTTCTTTCTAGGATCAAATACTTCATCATGAAACCCTTTCTTCATCAAGAAGTTAGGTTTCTTTACATATCCACAACCTCCATTGGCTCTAAACATGCCGTGCATCAACCACAATGATTTCCCATAACCCTATAATCGCAAAAGATTTGTTATGATCACATATAAGATCAACCAACGCCAAAAAGGTAGCTTAAGAGTCAAGGTATCCTTAGCCCTTTATTACCTGCATATTGAATGCAATCATTTGTGCTCCATGAGTCCAGCCAATAAGCGGTTTGTAGTTTGAGGAGTTAAACCTTGTCCCTTTTGGGTATATCCGAAGTATATTCCTCTGTGTAAACCTAGAAGACAACATATACAGTTTAAGTTGCGTACGGCTCAAGTCTTTTTCAAAGATTAGGGTTGTATTTAGAATTACCTTACGACATCCTGACTATTTGATGAACAAGTCCTATCAAGTTCCTGCTCACTCAAACTCAATCGTCTCACTTTATCAACCACAACTTTCATCTCTTCTTTCACCGTCCCCTTAGGTTTTCCAGCATGAATGGTGATCAATCTTTTGTAAGCTGGTTTCTGATCTTCACTAGCTTCTTCTTCCTCATGATCACTATCACTCTAACACAATAAAAAACTCAAACTAAGTTACAAGACACCAAAAAATGTTTTAAGTTCCTTTTTTGTTACCTTGTTTTCACAACAACTATCTTCGTACAACAAGATACTTTCTAGTGTCTGAATCTCCTCTGCTCTAGGTGATTCTTCCTCTGATGATGGAGATGCATTATTATTGTCCTGCTGTTTAACAATAGGGTTTCTTGATTCAAGATACTCTTTAGGTGGTTTAGTTGAGATCATTATCCGATGTAGCAATGAAGCAGGAGATGGAAACTCTGCTAAGCTTTCGGATTCAGGGTAAAACAACATTTGTCCAAATATCTGTGTAGCCATCTAAACAAAGAAACAAACAAAAAAAATCATAAGAAATTAAACTATCAAATTAGGATTTATCATAAGTTTTGATATCAACTTAAAATCAATTGGTAATAAGTGTATCGACTATATATTAGTTAATTATTTATTTGACAACCAATGTGGACATTAATTCATTAATACAAACAGATAAGTTCATAAAGATAGATAATAAATTGAAAATGTGTTACCTCAGCTACTTTGGCTTGAAGATCAGCAGTAAGATGATCCTCTAAAGTGATGATAACAGGATAAGGTGAGCTAGAAAATGCGTAATCTCTTATTGCTTTCAAGCATTTGATCAGTGGCACAGGCGTTGTGAGCGTTCTGAAGAAAACAAGAAACCGTTCTGAAAATGTTTTTTGTAAGGAAGAAGAAACAATAAAGAGACAAAGGTTTTTTACCTTCCATGAAGAACATTGATATCTGTTCCAGTAGAGTTAGGCCAAAGATCAAGCTCAATAACACGAACTCCTCTTTGCAAAGCTTTGATCACAGGGACTTCGCTACAATCGCTGCTTAGTTGATTCCCCGTGAGATACGAGTTGTGTCCCGTGTATATAAAGTAATGTGACAATGGTGCTGCCATGTCTTGATGCACCTGTCTCAACCAACCAACACAAAACATTTCTCGTAAGAAAAAAGTCTCTTCAAGAAAATCAAGATTTGAGTTTTTTTTTGTGTGTTTACGTGAGGTGTGATGGGAGGATTAAGATCATCGTAAAAAAGAAAGTTGAAGAAATCGTCTAGGTCAAGTCCATGACGTGTGAACCGCGTGACGTGGTGTCTACGTCTTATAACCTCGTCTATTAACCGTTGAGCCTCGGGGACGGTGGTTCCTGAATCTCCTTGGTGGTCGTCGAGGAAAGAACAGAGTTGCTCTGCCCCCATAACGCCTCCTTCACCGTCGCTTGAATCTCCGTCGCCTCCTCCGCCGCCGCCGCCGATGGCGAATTGGCAGAAGGCGTCACGGACGTCGTCGGTGGGTTGGACTTCGTTGATTTTGAATTTACGGTTGAAGCATTTGAACATTTTGTAGTTGTAACTGCCATTGTCGTAAGACTCTGTTTTCTTCTCCTTCCCCATTTGTCAAAATATTATTGTTATTTTTTTATTTAGGGTTTCTTGCGAATCAAGAAAACTTGTTCTTCGGAAAATCGAAGAAACTGAGATTTGGTGATTCGGAGATTGAAGATGATGAGGAGAAGGGAGAGTTCCTACAAAACAGGAGGCTTTGAAGCGGGATCGTTTGTCTTTTTTGTAATCTTTTTTTCTTTTGTGTCTTTTTGAAAAATCTATTTTTTTTTCTTTTTTTTCTAAAACTGTTTTTGCAGAGAAAAAACAATTTTTTTTCTTATAAAACCTATTCTTCTTCGTTTCTTAGGAGAAAAAAAAAAGTTATGTTTCAATTACTAATAAGAGAAATTCTTAATTTTAGTATTGGTTCTTTAATTTAGTAAAAGGTTATTTCTCTTCTTGGTATGAACTATGTGTATTTAATTACTTTCATATAATGCATTTATGTCTTACCAATTTTAGATATTTTTGATTTGGTTTGCACATAATGTTGATTGTCACTTTTTTGGCAAGTAGATATACACACTAAACATTTTCATCTTAATTTTTTTGTCGGCTCATTTGCATCTGATTATATGCATGCAAATGTTATGTTACCATATTGATGTATGTTGTTGTACCAGAAGTATGGAAGATAGTTTGAAAAGGTATGGAAAGGTAGGTTTATGTTTGTACACTGTGAATATGAGAAATGTAGAGAGACTCAAACTTAGTTATGTGACTTAAGCGCCAGCTAACCAAGTGAAGACCATAAGAAGTAAAACATGCTTGTTTCACAAGTTATCTCTTGGTTATTTTGTGTGTTTACATTACATGTCGGATTTGCGTGCTTGGGAAGATCTTGAACTGTGTCCATGCAGCCTGATCGTTCCTGATGTGTAGACGCGGAAGCCGTTTGTGGAAGAGACAAGTTTGATGCCTTTGTGTATATTAGATTTGGAGAAAGTCTTGTAGCATCTATGATAGTGCTTAGGCACATGTACTGGTTTGACGAAACATGCCTTTTCTAGGTGCGGAATTGCGTGAAGATGAGAAGGAAGATGGATAACAAACTCTCCAAAGTCATCAGTAACTGCTTTTATCCAGTTTGATCTCTTTTTGAAACCAGTGTGGCACTTGATAGCAACGGTGGCACCTTTAACATGTATATACTCTGATTAGTACATGTAAACATGAAAACATAAAGACACATGTATAGAGAATACCTGAAACAGGGGAGTTGCAAAGAAGAGAACCGGTGATAACCACAGAGGAGAGTTTGTGTTCTCCATAGCCATTCATCTCAGCCATCTCTATTCTGCTCCAAAACTTCTCTGCGGCTATGGATTCTCCGTTGAAGAAGGAAAATAAGAAGAATAAGATGAAGAAGATCCCCATATCTCAAATGTTTTCAGTATGTTTAGTTTGCTTAAGAAATGGAATAAGCATGTGTATGTATTTAAGTAGAGGAAATGGTCAATTTGTCTGACTCCATTTGGTTTGATTAGTCTTTGTTTGATTTCAATATGTTATTTTAGCTAACTACATTTAGAAAATAATGTAGTAGTTAGCAGAAACAACACCGAGAAAGAGCGATCAATTGACTCCATTCGTGGGTTTGGTCAGTAAGCACTAAGCCACCATTAAAGGGTTTGTTGGAACAAAACCATATTTGATTATTCTCTCAAAACAAGATGCATGAACTTTAACAGGCCTCCAAATTTGAGTATTAGGCTTCTTTAAGGCCCATTAGCTGTTGACATCTGATCAATAGGTGATGCATTGTGTACATATGATAATCCAATTCAAACAATAAAACAAACTGGTTCGGATTTAACACGGTCGATAGAGTACATCACAACCTCTTTATGATAAACATACATTTTTAGTTTTAGATTAATTTAGAAAACATATATAGAAAATAAAGATAGAAAGGCTCATTTAACTGCTAAAAGTAGCGATGAAGCTGATGGGACCTTTCCCGGTAAAAGCCGCCTGAAGTCCAAAGATGAGGAATGCAATCATGGCAAGACGAGAGTGTTTAATCTCAGCCAGCTTCAAGGTATCCAACTTCTCTGGGTCAGCTCCGAGTCCCAACGGGTCAAAATACCCACCCGGGTAAATACGTTTCTCCGGATCCAGCTCAGCGTTACGCTGGAACTCGATGTAACCGACCACTAAGACCTCGATCCATATCAATGTCGTCAAGGAAAACGGTAACGGCTGTCCCAAATACGATGAACCTTCCACCAGTTCTACCTAGTAGTAGTAGTCGTGTCACAATAAACCGAACAAAACCAAATGAACTTAATAAACCCAAAAAACAAAAATAGAAATCATGAACAAAATGTTGGTTACAATTTAACATATAAAAGTCCATTGAAATATAATAAAAACATATGATATTAACTAACATTGTTTAGTTATTCGTCTTTCTATTAAAATATTTGGTATCTAAATCAAATCTCTAAACCAAAAATAAAACTGAATTTGTTTTTATATAATGTTCTATATATTCCTTGTTCGGACACTTTGCTATGATTTTATTACTTAAACGACTCTTGTCAACCATGCATTTATCTTAGTTCCAATAACTGACACGTGGACAACTATGTAAGTGACAATAGAAATAACGTACCTTGCCGGCGTCTTGCCAGGCAATACCGGTGAGACCTTCAACGGCAAGAGCGCCAAGAGTACCAAGCATGGCCCACCTTCCATGGATCACCTCACATTCTCTGAACCGTTGGATCCCAAACACTTCAGTGTAGGGCTGAAACGGCGTCGGGTTGATGTCAGCCGATTCCTGCCTGACCCCAAGGAGTTCACCCGCCACGTTCTTAGCGAGGTTTTGGTCAAGCCCGTCGAAATCGTACTGAAGATACTCAGCCGGTTTACCTAAACCGAATGGATCGAATCCACGGTCTCCGATCATCGAACCGTCTAGCCATTCCGGCGGGTTTGCGCCGGGGAACCAAACTAGCCTGTCTCCGTCGTTTTGGACCTGCTTCGTTTTCTTAGGTGGTGGAGCTTGCTTCTTTTTCCCGAAGCTGAACCCGAACCGGGCTTGGACTCTACCGGTTCCGGGTCTTGGATCTTGGATCCGGATCCCAAAGATACCAGAGGCTGCAGCTGCAGTGGTGGTAGCCATTTTAATTGGTTCTGCTTAGAGAGTGGTGAAATGTTGTAACATATAGATTTTTTATATAAAAAAAGTTGTAATAACGTTAATATGTGATGGATGGTAGATGTATGAAGCCTTATCTCAGCGTTATCTCCTGTGATTGGTCTCTTTACATTTATGCTTTTGTGGTGTCTGTATTTTTGGTGACGTTGCACTTTTTTCTACCTTGGTCCTAAATTCCTAATGGTAGGTGTCTCTATTTAATGTTTTTTTCATTGTTTTGTATTCTTTAGTTTCTAATAATGATCTCTTTTGTCTATTTCACTTAGATAAAGATTTTGGTCCCCTCTTAAGCCCATTTAAAAGCCCATTAGTCGATGACAATAGAGACTACCCTACAAAGATTTTACCGAAACTTCCTAAAGTTAGAGCCCCTTTAAATCATGTGCAAGAAACATAAAACTCAAGTCAAAATATCTCGACTCACCAAAGACATACATTCTCAGCTAATAAAATTTTCACTTCGAATATTTCCAATGGAAGGTTATTCAAGAGTTTTCTAAACATGGTAAATATATAAATTAGTAAATTATTGTTTTGGGTATCTCAAAATTATGATAATTAGAATTTGAAATGCATTTCTTATAATTTTAAAATATATAATAAGATAAAAATATGTGTGTATTAATATTTTATATGTGAGAATTAAAGTTGAGTTACTAAAAGCATCTCTATAAATTGTATGTAGATTTGGGGTTCTAACAATACAAATGTATATATTAAATTTAGTATTTATTTGTGGAATTTTCAACTTCATAAAAAATATAATAAAAATATCCAAATCCACATATCATGGATGAATATTCTAAAGTCTAAACTTTCGAATTGTAACCAACCGTTCCACACTGCGAATAGTAACAATTTTTTTTGATATATATCTATACGTTTTTATTACTATTTGGATAGTACTGCAGTTATTCCATAGTTGTTCATACTATTCGGAACCTAAGAATTACTTCAAACAACAAATTTAATTCTTATAACAATTAAAAGTAGTTTTTATATTTAGTAAATTGAATGAAAAATCATAAAATCTACTATATTTAAACTAAAATCTCACACCATGGGTTTAGTTCCGTAGAAATCGGAACACTCAATAGGTGAACCCACAAAATCCATTTTTAGTCAACCAAAACTAAAGAGACAACGCGTATGACCGGTCAAACATTAGGCCCATTAGTGACCCACAAACCAAAGCCCAAAATAAGCAAAGACTCAAGTCGTTATTACAGAACAAAAACATATTTAACGCAAATTTAGTTGGCATTGTCGGATTCTCATTGTTTTCGCTCTCTCTCTCTCTCTCAAACCTTCTCCCTCCGATCTGCCTTGTGCGTGCGTGCTTGCGTGCGTACGTACGTTGCTTCTTCAATGGCGGCAAGATCCTTGTGGAGAAGCCGTGCGAGACTCCTCGTTGTTGGTTCCGCCGTATGCGGTGGTTCCGGCGCCGCCTTCATTGCTTCCTCAGAAGACCCATCTAAAACTCTCAAGCTCTGCACCAACATCCCTGTCCGCCTCTTCCGTAACACCGTAACCGCCGCCTCCATCGCTTTCGGTACATAAAAAAAATTATAAAAATCCAAACTTTCTTATATCATTCGTATTGCCTTTTAACCTTTTTCAATTGATTAGTTTGTAAATGAGATTGCTTTTAATAATCTACGTTTGATTCAGCCGACTTCTTAATTTGTTTCAATCCGTAAAAATAGGAACTTTGCGCGGTTCTTTGGTGCATTGCAAAAGAAGTAACGTTATATATATTGTGGTTTGTGTAATAGATTATGAATACTCATTGTCGGGTTTGGCTGAGGGAAGTAATGAGAGGGCTAAAGTCAAACATGAAGTCCACCTAAGGTCAGCTCAAAAGCTTCAAGAGCTTTGTTTCAAAAACGGAGGAATCTATATCAAACTCGGCCAGCATATAGGACAATTAGTATGTAATCTCTTTATGTACCACTCAGAATCTGAGGATTAAAGAATGTTGTTGCTTACGTGTTTTTGCTTTTATTAATGTTTAAAGGATTATCTTGTGCCTGAGGAGTATGTTCATACGATGAGGCAGTCTATGTTGAACAAATGCCCTGTCTCTTCGTATGAGCAAGTATGTGAGGTTTTCAAGAAAGAGGTTGGAGAGACGCCAGACAAGGTATGCGCCTCTTCTCTTATATACGCTTAGCTTATGTTAGATACCACACACTTAACGCTTCGTTATCTGCAGGTGTTTGCTGAATTTGACCCTGTTCCTATTGCAAGTGCTTCTCTTGCTCAAGTTCATATTGCTCGCACCCATACCGGGGAAAAAGTTGCGGTCAAGGTACTCAGTGGAACTACTTTTACCTTTACATGATTCAGAGCGACAAGTTAAGAGTGTTTTTATGCTCACTCCATTTTTTTGGTTATCTTGAATCTATCTTCTACAGGTTCAACATTCTCATTTGACAGACACTGCAGCTGCGGATACTGCAGCTGTTGGAGTTATTGTGAACACCTTGCACCGGATATTCCCATCATTTGACTATAGGTGCTGTCTCTTTCTCGTTTCCTTCAGACACAATCCATAGTTCATGTTTTCTTACAATAGCTTATACTAGTACTGGCTCATGTACGCAGGTGGTTGCTAGATGAAATGAGTGAAAGCTTACCAAAGGTTAGTAGTCTCTTTAGTTGATGTTATTCATAACATATATATGTATAAAACAGACTTTCAATTGATGTATTTATTTCATCAGGAACTAGATTTTATGGTTGAGGCGAAAAACAATGAGAAATGTCTGGATAATTTTAGGAAGCTGTCTCCCCATATTGCAGAGTATGTTTATGCTCCAACAATCTATTGGAACTTGAGCTCTTCTAAGCTGTTGACTATGGAGTTCATGGATGGTGCTCAAGTCAACGATGTGGCTAAGTTAAAAAAGCTTGGGATTCAGCCCTATGAAGTATCAAAGCTAGTAAGCCGCTTGAACTTTGATCCTTTTAACATTTCTTGATTAATAAGAGTTAATAGTCATGTGCATTCGGTTCTTTGGTTCTAGAGGTTTAAGATCCGGTTTGAATCGGTTCAGTTATTTTTGATTTCGGTTTGGATAACAAAGTTTGGTACCGGCTAATATCTGCAGTAATTTTGAATTCGGTTTCCATTTGTTTGGTTCTATAGATATAAGATTCACTAGTGTAATTGATAGGATCCAAACCCGAACCAAACCTCGTTTTTTGGTTCTTCGGTTCCGGATAAATGTGCACGGGCCTAGGAGTTTACGTTAAGCTCTTCTTTGCAGGTGAGTCAAACATTTGCAGAGATGATGTTCAAACATGGGTTTGTGCATTGTGATCCACACGCTGCCAACTTGATCGTTCGTCCATCTGGTAAAAGAAACATATACGGCAAGCAAAAACCGCAGCTAGTACTTCTCGACCACGGCTTATACAAGGAGCTTGACTTCAACACAAGATTCAACTACGCCTCACTATGGAAAGCCCTTGTCTTCTCAGACGCCAACGCCATCAAAAAACACAGCGAAAAACTCGGAGCTGGAGACGATCTCTACGTTCTCTTCGCAGGGATCCTCACAATGAGACCATGGAAGCAAGTCATCGACACGTCAGTGGATCATTTAGTGATCCAAGGCACTAAAGAAGATAGGTCAGAGCTGCAGATGTATGCATCACAGTACTTCCCTCAAATCTCAGAGCTTCTCAGGAGGTTGCCACGTGTGATCCTTCTGATGCTGAAGACAAACGACTGTCTTAGGTCTGTTAACAATGAGCTGTTGCAAGGGTCGTCTCTTGAGTCGTTTTTGATCATTGGGAAAGTGTCTTCAGAAGCTGTTTTGGAAGCAAAGTGGTCGGAGAAGAAGTCTTTGGTGAAATGGTTGAATGTATGGCTTGAAGGATTGTCTGTGGAAGCCAGGCTTTGGGTGATGCAGTTCGCACTTTGGGTGTTACAAGTGAGAAAAGCATTAACACTATAATATATAGTCATAGTATTATCATGAATACAAAAATGTTACAGACAGATTATACACACATGTATTCTTTGCTCTTGGTGAGTCCAGGAGTGACATTTTATCATTCTTTTGTACACACACAAGCTGTTGTTGTTGTACCAATAAATTTATGTAAACTTTGAGAGATATACATTGTTTGTAAGGTAGGAGGAAAAGCTTTTCCATAACCATTAATTTGTAGAAAAAAGAACTTATTACATTTTATAGTTGTTTTTTTCTTTTTTTTGAACAAATTACACTTTTCTCAAAGCTCATAGGTATGGCAAAGTACTATGACATTGACGACATACTTACAGAGGAAGAGGTTATCTTCTTGTCCATTAGATTCCTTGAGAGGCGAGGCTTTTATCCGCTTTGTCATAATTATCGTTGTTGTTTTCTTATTTTTGCAGTTTGCGCCAGTGTTATTCCATAAAGCAGTAAATGGAGTTACTGTTGATCCAAGTTCTGAGACTAACTCTGTTAGTACTCTTCTTTGTGAACAAACTTTCTTTGATAGTTTAATTTTAAGTTTTTTATTTATTTATTTCAGTGTTAACTTTATGTTTCCTTGCAGGTTGAACAAGGAGCTAAAGTGGAGTTACCCTTTTGGCTTGCTCATGAGTTGCATTTGAGACAAGTCGTCTCCATTAACCTTCCTTCCTGTTTCGACCAGAAGTAAGTGCAGTTTACTGTTAATGTTTGAATTCTATTCAGAACCTTCTGCACTCTACCTTCTTGGTCTGTTGAAAACTTGAGATAGCCGCTTAAGTACTTCATTGGTTTCTGTTGTAGCTTTGATTTATGTTTGTTTTATGCAGGACGAGGTTGGAGATACAAGCTGATGCAGCATGTGTAGATCTTAGATCACGATGTCCTTACTTTTATGAATTTGGTTGCAAGTTACAGCCATTGTGAGTCTTTCCCACACCATTTTATTATTATAGTTGATCTTTCCCTTGGTCTCTGAAACAAGCTTAAGTTTTATCGTATCTAGAACTCATTACATGATTTCATTGTGTTTCAAATGGTCATCCCAACATCACTGTGAAGTGTTTAGGAATAAATTGCCAAAGAACTTATTGTTTTTCATCTGGTGTTAGATGCAAAAGCAGATTTTATTTTGGACAGTAATAAGACTGGTTTGGTCTCTACATGCACTTGATTCTCTCTTTGGTCTGTGAACAGAGTTGCAGATAGAACGATTGGAATCTTGCTATCGACTGCGTTTAAAATCAGGTACAAGGAGAGGCTGACCAAAGTATACACTGCAGCTCATATAACTGCTTCCACGTTCTTGCCACTCTTAACCAAAGAAGAAACTAACTGTACTTGAAAATCCTTTTAAACTCTTTTTTTATATAATTAAGTTACCATCTTCGTCACATGAAACCTCAATTGTTTGTGTTCTTCTGCAGTGTACGAAGAAGCTCACTTGTCTATGACAGCTTTCAAGAAATGGAGAACAGGAGGTCCTCGTTTTCAGATAGCTTCAATACTCGGTAGAAAACGCAAGGAATCTTATTAAAATTAAGGTCCCAAAAACTTTTCTTTATTACTTTATTCCCTTTGATGATTCGAGCTGTTTGTGTGTTTTGTTTAGAATCATTTCATCATCATCATCATACAATAGTGTGTTTAGTGATAAAATATCTCAAAGATGATGTGACAACAAAGAAAGTTAGGTTCTCTTTTGCTTATTGCGTTACAGAAACAAATTACATTTTGGTAGAACTGATTAATCAAATTGCGATTTAAATAATGATCAAATTCAGAGACCAAAAATGTATAATATTGTTGTTTCACTCCAAGTATATGAAGAGTATACATCTTAACTAGCATCAGTCGTAGTCGCAGCTATTAGTAGACAAACATGGCCTGAAACTGAAACCTAATCATGTGGCCATTCGTGTTCTTGAATGGCTCTCTCAGATGAATATTTCATATTTTAGTTATCCTCTTCACGATAAGAGAATCTCGATTCTCCTCCCAATATTGGTCTTCCATTACAAAAAGACACACGAACTTTATTGCACTTTTAGGAATTTCCAACAGCATATACTAAGTAGTGCTTTTGAAATTTCATTTACAGTGTTCTAATGTTCTTATCTTACACATTTACACATATAACGGTCAGACCTAATACTAATAAGCCTCGAGTGTGAGGTTATTAACCAATGACAAATGAAAGATAACTTGGGGATTCAATCATTTTTCTGTAACAACAATGGAGTTTTAGTGAAACTTACAAAACGATATTGTAGCACGCTGACCAGATCAAAGGCAAACTTTTGGAGTCCAGAAATGAGGATGATGCATGCGTATGGGAATATGGTTCTTCACCGTGGCAAGTCGTACACCATATACACTTTTTCCCCTATTTTATTCATATAAAATGCAATAAATATCTTGAGATATTTCTCGAGTTAGAGAATCATAGATCCTTATCTCTCACCCTTTTAAAGAAAACAATTGTAAAAAATTCAGAAAAGTGCAGAAAAAGCTCTGTTTCTTTATTCCTTCTAACCAATCACTGCACACCTTCAACTCACATCTTTCCAGATATTCACACGCGCTTGTTCTTCTATTTTCGATTAATGTAACGTGTATTTGAGATACACGCTCCGGTTATTCGCCTGGTGATGAATCAGAACTACTTGCCCCCGTGTCCATTTTTCATCTTGTCCGGAAGATATTTAGTTACTATAAATATCTAATATCTCTTGAGTGCGAAAATACAACAAATCAGACAAAAACACATACAAAACAGATAAAAAAAGATAAACTTCGGTTGATAAAATCTACTTAAATGAAGAGGAACGGTGAAACCAAGCGGCGGAGGAACGTGGGGGAAGAGTCGGAGCATGGAGGAGATCCAGCGATGTGGGAGGATCTAGACCGGAATTTCAGACAAGTGCAATCCGTTTTGGACAGAAACAGATCACTTATACAGCAAGTCAACGACAACCACCAATCAAGAATGGCAGATAACATGTCCAAGAACGTTGCTTTGATCCAAGAACTCAACGGAAACATCTCTAAGGTTGTTTCAATGTATTCTGACCTCAACACCAATTTCTCATCGGCCTTTCACGGTGGGAAGAACGGACGTGACGGTGGTGGAAACACCGGAACCAGAGCTAATTAATCAACCCTGATCAAATTGATCTTTCTTATAGTTGGACCGGCCGGTTTTTGAACATTTCGAATCAGTCGGTTTAACATATGGTCTAAACCTATTATGTAAGTTATGTTATTGCAATGATTGTCGTTAGAATAATCCGTGGGAGAAAACCCATTATATGGGTTATTTTAATTATGGTTTGAGTCTTTTTCAATGTGTCTCTCTACTGCAATTTCTCTAATAATAAATAAATATTTAGATTTATTGTTATATTTGTATTTATTATATGTTGAGCTTTCTTCTTATATGATCTTTTGACATTAATGAAGGTTGTTGTTAGATAGTTGCAACTTGAAATAAGTTCGTAACCTATTGGTGATGCAATTTTGATATGACATGTAAAATGATCATTTAAACTAATTGTTTACAGATGACTTTTCAAAGTGGTGTGTGTTGGAGAAGTATCCACGTTCTGATATTCATATGACAATAAAGAGCAAACATATACTGCATGCAACAAATAGACCATTCAGTCTATATCTCAGACACACTAGCAATGCTGTGATAGGAAGACTATAAGAGCATAGTTTTTCAAATTTGAACTCATTATTAATAATATACTACGATCTTACTTAATCTGATTAGAAGATAACAAAACTTTGATGTTCGAAAAAGATAAACTAAATACTAACTAAACGTTCATAGAGAAAAGTATATGGATCTGATGGGCTCGTGGATAGAGTGGACTTGCTTTACATATCTTGGACTGAGCTTTAATTAGCAATATCGAGCTTTAATTCTTAAGTTAGTTTTGTGGTCTAATAGCCTCGAGACTCTCCACTATTGTCTTTAAAACCAATTAAACCCAAGCCCAATAGATTTTAATAATTTTTATAAAACGACTCTACAATCATATGGTGATGATTCTAATTTCTACATACAAAACATGTTTCAATGAATCTTCTATATTAAAAGAATTACCATTTATATCTACTATAAAAAGTCATATTGGACCATTTCATTAATATAACATATTTGATTATTTATATTAATCAACCAAATATAGATTACTGAAGAAATATTTTAATAATATATAACTATAAAGTTATATTTAATTTCATTCATAACAAAATCGTTGAGAAAATATCTAACAAGATCTTACCAAGAAATTTAAATATTTTTATAAAACATATATTATTTTATTCCGTGATTAATATATATATATATATATATATATATATATATTAATGTTAATTAAAAATAAAAATTGGTATATTTTATAATTTAATGATTTTCTATATTATATTAAAATAAAATGCTATTTGAAATTAATATAAAAATATATTAAATTGGTAAAGAAAAATATTTTATTTTAAAAATTTCTTTTATTCACTGTTAAAACATATTAATTTTTAAAATCATGTAATATTTTTATACTAAAAATGTTGACATATATTTTTGTAATTCACAACAAATACATTATCTAAAAAAATATATTTGATATTTTTAAAAAATGACAACAATATATTATATAAAATCATTAAAATAATAAGATTATATAGTTATACAATATAATAATAAAATGTAAATGATATATCTAAAAGATTTTGTTATATTTTTATAAAATGAAAAATTACCCTCACGGATGTGCGGGTTCAAAATCTAGTGAATAATAAAGAAACTCGTTTTATGTTCGTTACAACAATTTGATCTTATATAAAAACTTATGAAAAATCATTGACTGACGATGAGAAGATGATGTAGAGCAGAGAATCCTTAGGCTTGAAGCGATAGATACAATTGAGAGATGTCACGTCCCCTCAAAAAAAAAAAAACAAATTAAATTCATCAAACCCCAAAAAAACATTTTTTTAAAAAAAAGCTTATTATTTCCAAATTAACCCATATTCCAGATCAATATTTACACTTGATGCCACTCTCTTCTCTCTCCCAATTCACAATCTCTATTTTCTCTCTCGATCTCCATAAAGCTTCCATTTTTATTACTCTCTCTCTGTTTCCGCTTCTGGGTTTTGTTCCTCTCTGTTAACTGTAGTGACTAGAGTCTCTTTTAGCTCGAGCAATGGCGGTTTCTTTGAGAGAGTTCGTGTCTTCCTTCTAAAAAAGTTCACTTTTTGCCCTACCTTTCTGTTTCACTTTCAAGCGGGAACAATTAGTGAAAAATGCGCTGCAAATTAACGTTTTAATCTTGTAAAGTTTCGATTTTTCAATCTAATTTAAAAGTTCGTAGTTACAGTAACTTAACTTAAGATTAGGACATTGTTTTGTCTCTCTGTCTGTTGTGGAGAGGGGGAGTAGATTGGAAGTTAAGTTAGGTTTTTTTTTAGTCATCTCTTGGTTTGTAAGTTTGGTTTTAGATAGAGAGAGATGAATCGGAGTTTTAGGGCACAAGAGTCACGGTTGCTGGATTCAGCAGCGAGGCAGAGGCAACAGCTTAGGGCTTCTATGATGGCTGAGAAAGATGAAGAGCTTTCTTTGTTTCTTGAGATGAGGCGGCGTGAGAAAGAGCAGGATAGTCTCCTTCTCAACAACCCTGATGAGTTTGAGACTCCGTTAGGTAACAATTCTAATTTGTGGAGACAGGACAAGACAACCCTCATTGATGTTTATTGGTTATTGATGGTTTTGTGTTGTGTAGGTTCAAAGCCTGGGACTTCACCTGTGTTTAACATCTCAAGTGGTGCTGCTCCAGCACGGAAGACAAGTCCTCCTGATGATTTTCTCAATTCGGAAGGCGACAAAAATGACTACGAATGGTAACTCTCTTTAACTACAATTTAACATATTGAATATCGCATTCACATGTGATAATTTGAATGTTTGTAGCCATCTTAACTGCAAGTAGATTAAGTATATCTTTTTGTGATTGTGTAATTAGTATTTTAATTTGGGAGGTTTTTAAGTGATGTATAGCTTTGGTAGTATTGTTTGCTGTATGTAACGTAATTGTAAACAATATAGAACTCTTTGTTTGTGCGAATGTAAGGTGTGTGAGTGCTTATCTCAGATAAACACTGGCATATAATGCTTACCAATTTAATAACTTCACTGTGTAAAGTGTTCATGTTTTTTTTGTGTGTGTGTGAATGATACTGAGAAAGGATGTTGAAGTGTTAGTACAACATACATATCTGCCATCTCTTCTAGACATTCACTCATGCTTTCCTAAATATATCAATGTCTACCGACTCTACCCTAACTTCTCTTTTGTGTTTCGTAGGCTTCTGACCCCTCCAGGTACTCCTCTCTTTCCTTCGCTGGAGATGGAATCACATAGGACTATGATGAGTCAGAATGGTGATTCAAAGGGTCGTCCGGCTACATTGACTTCTAGGGTAATAATGTTATTGTTTACTGTTTTGAACTCATTTGATCAAAACATTGATTCTAGATAAACATCTAAAAATAGTGCAGCTAGTGTTGATGTTATATGTTTTGGAAGCATTACTTCATCAGGGTAACCTGTGAATTGTTTGTGTTGTAGCTAGCGAATTCATCATCAGAGACTGCTGCAAGGAACCATCTAACATCTAGACAACAAACTTCCTCTCCTGGACTGAGCTCTTCCAATGGATCAACTCGGAGACCTACATCATCTGGAGGACCTGGATCAAGACCCTCCACACCCACTGGAAGATCATCATCACTGACAACTAATTCAAAATCATCTAGGCCTTCCACACCAACCTCACGAACCACCTCCATCTCCTCAACTACTCGGCCTCCTCTGACTAACTCCAGGTCCACTGCATCTGCAACCACTAAGCCTACGCCTCCTATGAGTAGGTCAACAAGTTCATCTAGGCTCACACCTAGTGCATCTAAACCGACTCCTAGATCTGCTGGTTCAACAACTAGATCTACCACTAGCACCGCCACTACCACAAGATCTGCAGGTCCTTCTAGGTCCACCACACCGCTTTCAAGATCTACTGCTAGATCTTCAACACCAACTTCTAGACCTACACTTCCTCCGCCTAAAACCATATCCAGGTCAGCTACACCAACTCGCCGTCCAGTCAGCTCTGCAACCACTACATCAAAGCCAGCAGCATCTCAAATCAAGCCTTCTTCTCCAGCGGCAAAGCCTATGCCAACACCATCTAAAACCCCTGCTGTTGTATCACGTGGAGCTTCTCCTACAGTGAGATCAAGGCCATGGAAGCCATCAGACATGCCTGGTTTCTCACTAGAGACTCCTCCAAATCTAAGAACAACATTACCAGAAAGGCCACTCTCGGCGACAAGAGGCAGGCCAGGAGCTCCAAGCCCTCGTTCTAATTCAGTTGAGCCAGGGGGTCTTGCAGGAGGAAGAGCGAGAAGGCAGTCATGTTCACCATCAAGAGGAAGAGCACCGATGCACACTAGTGGTAGCTCTGTTCCTGCGATTAACCGTGGATATTCCAAAGCCAATGACAATGTTAGTCCTGTCTTGATGGGAGCAAAAATGGTGGAGAGAGTCATAAACATGCGGAAACTGGCTCCACCAAGATCAGATGAAAAGGGTTCTCCTCATGGTAATTTGTCTGCAAAGTCCTCATCACCAGATAGTGCAGGATTTGGAAGATCACTCTCCAAGAAATCCCTTGACATGGCCATAAGACATATGGTAAACTCTCTCTCTCTCTTTTCCCCATTAGTACACTATTAAGACATTTGTGGGAACTGATGAATCAACATTATGATGGAAAACAGGATATACGGAGGACCATACCAGGGAATCTGAGACCACTGATGACAAACATTCCAGCATCATCAATGTACAGTGTGAGATCTGGACATACTCGTGGCAGGCCGCTGAATGTATCAGATTCTCCACTAGCAACAAGCAGCAACGCAAGCTCAGAGATCAGTGTCTACAACAACAATGGCATCTGCTTAGAAGCTAGCGAAAAGGAAGATGACGTAGGCAGCGAGAGAGGTTGCAGGTCCCCTGCAAGCTTACAAGGGAGATAGATGAAAGAACGAAGAAAATTTGTAACCCGTTGACCTTTGGGATCCTCCTTTGTCTTTATTATATTATTGTGTCTTTCACACGAGATTTATGATGATATGTAAACCTCTCCACTTTGTGTCTACTTTTTAACCTGAAGTCGCCTCTATGGTCTCATTAACCTAATGATTTGAGATAGTTTAACCACTTGTTTGTGATTACTGATTGAGTTGAAACATGAATGTAATCAAATATCATCCAACATGACATAACTATGTTAATAATAACACACAAGGGCCCTTACAATATCTCAGCTGTATATAACATAAAACGAAAAGCAAATATTAAATCACATAAGGTTTTATCGAGCAGCAGCAACAGCCTCGGTGGGCTTGGTTTCAGGAACATTCTTTGGAGGAGCAGCCACGTCAGAAGGAGGTTGAGGAGTGAGTTTAAGGTGAGCAGGCGGGTTCTGTTTGAGCATCAGCAATATCTGTCTCATTCTTGAGAGATCTGTTGGCTTACCAGGTTTTGGACCTTGAATCACAGAGATTGTTGGCTTCTTGGGATCTTCCTCTTTCTTCTTCCCTATTTTTTTTTTCTCTCTATTGTTTGGAACCTCTTTAGGTCCTAGCTCTGCTAATGTCTTCCAGTTTTAAGTGTTGAAAGACAAACAAACGTGTGAGCAAATAGTTCAACCAACGCAGTACAAATTGCAAAATAATCAGAGAAGCAAATGATATGTGTTTCTTCAAGTTTCAGTCAAAGCTTCTGATCCTGTCATTTATGTAAAAACTAGATATGGGCCGTTTTTCCATAAAAATTCTAATTAGTATTTGTATTTTAATAAGCACTTATTTTATTTGATGTTTTAATATTTATAAAATATAAAATAATAATTCCATGTTAAAGTTTTATGATTTTTTTGTATATGTTGTGTGAGATATATTTTAGAAATTAAAAATTTATTTTTCCATAAAAGTTCTGATTAGTATATGTATTTTAATAAGTACATATTTTATTTGATGTGTTAATTTTACAAAGGACATAAAATGGTTATCTTGTATATGTTTTGTGAATTTATTCCAGAATTTAGAATTTATTTACCCACATAAATTTTGGTTAATATTTATATTTTAATAATCATGGTATATAAGTGAATTGTTTTTAATTTTGTACGGAAAGCCATAGAAAATATTCATAACTAAAAATTTAAACAAAATTCAGCTTAAATTAAGAATTAGAGTGAAATAAAAAAAATTGAAAGTTAAATAAGATCAATCAAGTCAAGGACAATATCATACAATTGTCATTTTTTTTTAATTTTTTGATGATAAATCTTAAAATAAATAAATAACATATTTTATTACATATTGTAATAAAGTTGAATGTCACTTCTTAATTTTGTGATGATAAATCTTAAAATAAATAAATTATTTTATTATATATAATAATAAGGTCGAAGAAGACTATCTTACAAGTAATTAAGAAATGCTTCTAACTTCATATTAAGTTAATGACATTTGATATCATATATATCATTTGGAAATTTTATATAATTTTATAAAGTTGTACTCTAAATACTAAATCATAAATCTAGATGTTGTGGGTTTATTTTTATTTAGTATTAAAGAAAGGTATTCAAGTTATAGTATTTCAAAACTATTTTCGTTAGTTTTTTCCAGTTTTTTTGAATTTGTAATTTTTGTTTAAGATTTGCAAAAAGGAAAACTACAATTAACACTCTTTTTTTTTTTACTTTTACACAATATTTAAAATTAATATTTTTAAACTCGTTTTTATTATTTTAAATATTTTTACTTAGGATTCGTGGGAATTTAAATTAAAACTAAACACTTTTAACTTTTTATTTCTACTTTTTTAAAAAAAAATTAATATCTTCAAATTTTATTTTTATTATCTTAGTATATAAAATCATCATCACTTTAAGAAGAAAAAAACATAAATAATATTTGAAATAATTATTTTACAAACATTTTTTGTTTAGGATTTGAAAGAAAGGAAAAGTACTATTGAACACTTTTTTAATAAGTTTCTTATATTCAAAATTTTAGAAAACGACAATTACTATAAAATATTTTTTTTCCAATTACCTTTTTTCAGGATTTTGGAAAAGGAAAATTATTATCAACTAAATTATTTCACATATATTTTTTTGTGTAAACTTTTTTAAAACAAAATGGTTTAAAAAGTGCTATTAAATATTTTTTTTATTTAAATTTATTTGTAGAAATCCTTTCCATTATCTTAGTATATAAATTTTGTTAATCATGATTTATTTTAACATATATAAAAATTTTAAAAGAAAAATCACTATCAAATAGTATTTCGTTTAATATTTTAGAAAAGACAAATTGGTAATAAATAAATTATTTTACGAATAGTTTTTCTTTAGGATTTGTAAAAAAACAAAATCTACAATTAAATACCTTTTAATTTTATTTTTACTTTTAGACAATATTTTAAAATTAATATTTTAAAATTCTTTTTTTATTATTTTAATATTTTCTTTAGGAATTTTATAAAGAAAACTACAATTCAAAACTTATAAGTTTTTTTTTATTTTTAAACAATTTTGAAAATTAATATCTTCAAAATTAATTTATTATCTTAGGATTTCTATTAAAAATCATCATCAGTTTAAGATAAAAAGAACATAAAAATATTTGAAATAATTATTCTAGAAATTCTTTTATTTATGATTTAAAAAAAAATACTAGACACTATATAATAATTCTCTTATGTTTAATATTTTAGAAACGGACAATTACTATAAAATTGGTTTTTTCAAATATATTTTATTCTGAATTTTGGAAAGGAAGATAAGTGTCAAATAAATTCTTTTGCAAAATTTTTTTTGTCTAAATTTTTTAAAAATAAATTGGTTTAGAAAAATTGATATTAAATAATTTATAAAATTAATTTTATGATATGATATATTTTTACTATATAAAACTTTAATAGGAAAGTTAATATCAAATAATATTTTCTTTAGGATTTTAGAAAAGAAAAATTGATAATAATCTATTTACGATTAGTTTGTTGTTTTGTATATGTAAAAACTAAAACTACAACTAAACATTCTTTACTTTTTTTTAATTTTAAAAAATATTTAAAATTACTATTTTCAAAAAAAAATATTTTAAATCTTTTTGTTTAGGATTTGTAAGAAAGGAAAACTTAATTTAAAAACTTTTAGCTTCTTTTTTCTTTTAATTTTAAACAAATTTTAAAATTAATATCTTTGAAATTATTTTTTATTGTCTTAGTATATATATTTTTAATCATGAGAATTTTAATACATGTCACAATATTAAATAGAAAAGTATTATCAAAAAATGTTTTTAAATATCTTTTATTTTGGATTTTAAAAATGGAAAATTACTAATATATAATATTTCTAATTATTTTTTTAAAAATAAAATTATGTTTTTGTAAATATCTTTTATTTAAGATTTTGAAAATGTAAAATTACTATTACAATATTTATAGTAAATATTATAAATAAATGATGGTGTCATCATTTATTTGTAGACGGCTAAGTCTTGTGTTATGTCCTTCTCCAATAAATGATGCTGTCATCATGGGATTATCATGCCACTTTGGTGAAAAATCAAAGTCACCAGATTTATGGAAAAGTTGCTTGCAATTTTCAAAAGCAAAATTAATTGGGTTCGAGATGAGCATACATGAATCATACATCAAAATAGATGAGATTAAGCGCACAGCTTCCAAACTAGTCTCAAAAGTAAGAAAATAGATGTATCTATTATTTTCTTCTAAAGTATAATGTTTGGCTAATATGTGATGATTTTGTCACCCAGGATCTATTTTCGTGTTTCTTATCCTTTGTTGCTGCATCTCTATATTATGATCTCTGTGAAAGAGAATTGTCATGTGGTAATTTATACAAGGTAAGATTTTCTTTTTAATCATGAGAGTGTTAGTAGTATATAGCAACTGGTTGTAGTTTTTTCTTGATATTATGAAAGTTTGTTTTTTTAATATTAGGATTATTAATTATCTTACGTTTTTTTATAGGCTCTCTCTTATGCTAAGGTTAACATACACATGTCTCTGTTAACCTTTGACTAACAGAGACATGGTAAATGTATGAATTTATGGAAAAATGTTGGTTGACGTATGAAATTTGAATATAATTTGAGTTGATGTATGTTTTAACACATGATATGAGTGTATGTACTGATCGGGACCGCAATTCCATGTTGATGTATGAATTGACCGTTTTCCCAAACATAGTGCCACTAATGTCTAGATAAAGCTTCATTGATAGTGTTACACGTTATGGAAACATTACTTCATGATGGTAACCTGTGAATTGTACTACCATCTAACATCTCGACAAGCGACTTCCTGTCCGTAGAACCATGCCAGGGAATCCGAGACCACTAACGACAAACATTCTAGCACCATCAATGTACAGTGTGAGATGTGGACATGAATGTTTCAGATTCTTCACTAGCAACAAGCAGCAACACAAGCTCAGATATCAGTGTCTACAACAACTATGTCATTTGCTTAGAGGCAGCTAGTAAAAAGGAAGATGACAGCAGGCAGCGAGAGAGGTTGCAGGTCCCATGCAAGCTTAAAACTAACGTCTGGTAACAGAGATGAAGAGGATATCAAAGGGCAAGCTATAGCCAGAGCATGAAATCGGTGGCTGAGAAATAAAATTTGAACTCTATTAGTTTCAAGCGTTTTCTTTCTTTCTTTTCATAAAAAAAATTGAACTCTATTAGTTTCAAGCGTTTTCTTTCTTCATTACAAATAAAATTATTTCTTTTCATAAAAACTGAACTTTATTATTAGATTTAATATTTGTATCTTTTCGTTGTAAAAATTAATATCTAATAATAATAAGAATTATATTTAATGTTGAAAGGTTGTATATCTTCATTATAAAAAATTGTGTCGTTTAAAAAAAAATCTGTTATTTGAAAAGTTGTATTCTTTCATTATAAAAATAAATAAATTAGTTTAACAAATAGTTAAAATAAATTTTAAAAGATGTCTCTTCTCATTATAAAAGATTATTAATAAAGAAAACCCAATTAATGTCTAAAATTGTGTCTTTTCATGAAAAATAATGTATTAGTTTTAAAACTTTGTGTCATTACATTGTTAAAAAGGTATGTCTTTTCACAAAAAAAAAAACTGAACTCGATTAGTTTCAAGAGTTATTTTTCTTCATTACAAATAAAGTTATTTCTTTTCATAAAAACTGAACTGTATTAGTTTTAATAGTTATATTTTTTCATTGTACAAATAAAATCTATTAATAATAAGAATTTCATTTAATGTTGAAAGGTTGTATCTTTTCATTATAAGAAAAGTTGTGTCTTTTCAAAAACAATAATTAAACTCTATTAATTTTAAAAGTTTATATTTTCATTATACAAAAATAAACTAGTTTAATAATTACTTAAAATAGGTTTTAAGAGTGATTTTTCTCACTGCTCAAAAAAAAGAGTTATGTACTCATTAGAAAGGAAAAAGTAATAATATAAAACTCAGTTAATGTTTAAAATTGTGTCTTTTAATAAAAAAAACTGAAATGTATTAGTTTAAAAGCTGTGTTTCTACATTATTAAAAAGAAAGTATGTTTTTCTTAAAAAACTGAATTCTATTAGTTTTGTTTCTTCGTTATAAATAAAGTTATTTCTTTTTACAAAAAATTTAATTCTATTAGTTTTAAGAGTTGTACCTTACCATTGTAAAAAAAAAATAGTTTAAAAACAATCATACTGTCCCAATAAATGAGTTTCTCATTATATAAAAAAAATATTTTCTAAAATTGTTAAGATATCTCAATAAACATCTTTCTACAATTAATAATAAGTCTTTTCATTAAGCAATCAATTGAGTTTCTTTACTTGACATAGCAAGTTGGTGCATGGGAGACCACAAACAATTTTTAGGTTGAGAAATGGTAAATGATCTATTAATAAAAGAAATATCAATTAATGTTATAAAAGTTGTATATTTCATAAAAAAAAGAAATGTTTTAGTTTAACAGCTGTATCTTATCATTAGTTTAGTAATTGGTTAGATTAGAATGTGTTTGTTTTCTTAATTAGTTTCAAATATCCGGTTGTTTTCAAGATTTTTGAAATAACTTAACTAAATGGATAATAAAACATATAAGCTTATTTGGTATTGACATGTTTGTAATTTTATTACAGCGAAACCTATAAAAATATAGATTTTTAATATTTTCAATAAAGGAATATAATTATATGTAATTTAATTTTGTGGCATATGTATTTCCGCAAAAGGTTATCTCAAACGGGTTCGTTACCTAGTTATGAAAATATGAAATACTAATAAAAGGGTCTATTTTACTTCTGAAGTCTATTTTACTTTTTTTTGTTATAATAAAAAAAAGTCACTTTTATGATGGCCGGTGTGTATCACAGAAAAAATAATTTATATTTGATATCTTTAAAAATAAGAAACAAAATCTTGTTAAGTTATATTATTTTGTTAAGTTATATTAATAAGATTTTATTTCCTTTTTAAAAAGATATCAAATATGAAATAACATAATTCTATTGGTGGGTGAACCTTGACTTTGACTTTGGGTTAGGATGGTGAACCTTGACCTTGGAACCCAAGAATAACTAGGAGAAAAAAACACAAGTTTTATCCTATGCCTCTCCCTGGAATAACTAGGAGAAAAAAAACATGGAATATTTCATACTTTTCATCAACGTGAGTAATAGAGGCGGGTTTAAAGCGGTTTCTGAGAATGCTGAATGGGCTGAAGTCGGTCACGAGTCTCAGTTAGGGCTTGGTGACTCGAAATTGATCTATGTCAAGTATCTTGCCACACTTGCTCGATGGTTGAACAGAGATACTACTAGTGTGGGGTCGCCTGGAATCTCGTATGATCTGATTGGTAGGCTTAGACATTTTGTATCTCAAGTGAAGAGCAATTATGAGTTGAGGAAAGTAGGAGCAGAGTTCAAATGGTTTTTATTGAAGAAAGTTGAGTCCGGTAACAACAAGGATCGCTCTTCTCTTGGTAAGAGGAAACGGGAGTGCACTTTAGAGACTTTGAGANTGTGGGGTCGCCTGGAATCTCGTATGATCTGATTGGTAGGCTTAGACATTTTGTATCTCAAGTGAAGAGCAATTATGAGTTGAGGAAAGTAGGAGCAGAGTTCAAATGGTTTTTATTGAAGAAAGTTGAGTCCGGTAACAACAAGGATCGCTCTTCTCTTGGTAAGAGGAAACGGGAGTGCACTTTAGAGACTTTGAGATGGTTACGCGAGGCTGCTAAGGATCCGTGTGACATATCTTTTGGTTCTTTGCCGGATAGATCAATGTGGGATTCTTTTTATGCTAGTGAAGAAGAGCCATGGAAACAGCTTCTTCTTCTGTTTAGAGCTTCAAGAACCAACTCTGGTTCGGCTTGTCAAAGGATTTGGCAGGTTGGTTTAGTTATTTAAAATTCATTATTATGATGATGTGGGCCTTAGAGAGCATTTTGCTATAGTATCATGCAGCTTAGGATCTTCAACACTGTTTATGCCAATTCCAAGTCTTAATTAAATCATTTGCTTGCGTGTTTGTGTGTGTTTCAGAAAATCCAGAAGATGCATCCATCTCTGTATCAGCAGGATAGTGCTGGGCCTAGTAACAATCTAAGAGAGAGATTCAGTAGCCAGTTTAATGAGAGGAAAGCTGGGAAAGATGAATCATGTGGTCTAGACGGTTTAGAGTTTCATGCTCAAGTACCTGACTGGTCTGAAAGCGATTCATTTAAGTGGTTTGACACTCTGATCATGTGGCCAGAACACAACAACAGTAATCTTCTTACTGAAAGAGATTCTATTGGAAATGCTGATAGTAATGAAATGCTCACAACGCTCGTCTCAGCTATGGGAGAGTGTGCACTCTCTATACTTAGAGAGCCGCAGTGTTTTTTGGATGAGGATTCACTGCATGACTTCTGCATCTCAACACTGAAGGTTTAAATATTGCTCTATTCTTACCAATTCAGTGGATTTTTTTTGTTTTGTTTTTTGTGGCAAACTCTAACTGTCTCAAGGTTTTCCATGTTTTAGATCACTTCCTGCCTAGTTGAGGATGTAATTGCTAGTCCGTGGATTTCACCTCCCGAGCTCAAACAACTATTTACTTCATTTCATGAAATTGGTGTAGCTTTGTCCAATATAAAACATTTTAAAAAGGTTGCATATATACCAGAGCCATAAAAAAATTTACTTCAAGTTTTTTGCACCAAAGTATATTTTCAAAATATTGATGGGTTGTACTTTGCAGGTTTCCCTGGCGTTAAAATTATGTATTAGAACAGTGTGGAATTGTGTTAGACTCCTCTCTCTCAAGTCTAACTCTTCTGAGGATTTTGTGTGCGGAAAAGATTTTGTGACCGAGGCATGTAGCAAATCTGCATACTATCTGGATGTTCTCGAACAACATGGGGAATGCGAAATTGAGAAGCTTCTTTCCTTTATTCTAGAGAACTGGTTTGAAGCTAAAAAACGCATCACAAGTTTACCCGACCTTACACCAATAATACAACAGTGGGTTAAGGTAACTCTATGCTTCTGCTTTTTCCGCTTGCTTTTTTTTTTTTTTTAATTCACGCTTCTAATTCCAATTTATCATCAGATACAACACAGGCGTCATAAGAGTCCTGATCTGGCTGACTCATGTAGACTGTTCTACTCCTTCCTGTCATCTTCTCAGAAGATTTCGAAAATAGTGACTGGAAATATCTTGGAGCAGGTTGGGATCCTATATCAATTCCTTAATTGATGCAATAGATTTCCAAAGCAATAAGTGACATGTTACCATGCATTCTAGTTTACTTGTTATATATATATATATATATATATATATATATGTTGTTGTCATTTACAAATAATTACTTGAACTTATATTCTTACATAACATATGAAGGAGATTCTTGCTTATGAGGAGTTCGTTCCTGAGTGCTCAAGATTATGTCGTGCAAATCAGTTAGAAATTGCTGATATCCTTTTGAAAGATGTTTTCGTCACAAAAGATCTATTGTTGGAGAGAGCAAAAGTTTTAACGTGGAAAGCAAGGATGCTAAGAACTACTGGACCCGAACATTTAAAAGAGTGTGTTAAGCATTTATCAAAAGCTATATTTACCTTGGTATTTATTTACGAACTTGATGGTTAACAGCTTATCTACTGCTCAATTCTTTTTGTGAATGATTTCTTTGTCATTGACACAGGAACCCATATTTAATGAGAGCCATGAGGCTTTGTGTTGTTTCCAACTAATTATTGTATATTTATTAAGAGCGTTATGCGTCCAAGAAACTGAACCAGAGTCCAAGGTAACATTATTGAGTTATGTCCATTTTGTTTGTTTATTTATGTTTGGTCTCTAATGTCTATATTCGTGTGCTATTTTCTTTACTTCTTATCTTACTCTTGTGTGCAGCAAGTTTTCGAAGACATTAACACCTCTTTGAAACTATGGGTATGGATTCAGTCTAGTGACATTATTCCTCTGGAAAATGTGATTCCTCTACTGTTGAACGTAATTGATTTGGTCTCAATAAAGGTAAACTTTGTAATTTTATCATGTTAGAATTTTTGCTCTTGGGATATACCATTCTAATTGTTTTACAATTTTTCTAGCCTTTAATACTTTTATCACACTCCAATTTTAGGGTTGGATAAAACTCCATCAATGCATATATGACTTGATGTTTAAAATCTTCAAATGGAGAAATGTCAGATTGGATGTCTCTTTGGCAATATTGTGGGATTGTAGACGGCTAAGTCATGCGTTATGTCTTTCTCCAATAAATGATGCTGTCATCACGGGATTATCATGCCACTTTGGTGAAAACTCAGACTCAACAGATTTCTGGAAAAGTTGCTTGGAGTTTTCAAAAGCAAAATCAGTTGGGCTCGGACTAAGAATACATGAATCAGACATCAAAATAGATGAGATTAACCACATAGCTTCCAAACTAGACACAACTTCCAAACTAGTGTCAAGTGTAAGAAAATAGATGTATCTACTATTTTCTTCTAAAGTATACTATTTGGCTAAAATGTGATGATTTTGTCTCCCAGGATCCTTGTTTGTCGTCTTTTGTTGCTGCATCTCTATATTATGATCTCTGTGAAAAAGAATTGTCATGTGGTAATTTACGCGAGGTAAGATGTTTTTTTTTTAACCATGAGTCTTACTTGTATATAGCAACTAGATGTGTTTTTTTCTTGATACTTTATGAAAGTTTGTTTTTAATATCAAGATTATTAATTATCTTCCTTTTTCTTATAGGCTCTCTCTTATGCTATGGAAGCAAACCGGATTCGAAAATTTTTTCTACAAAAAATTTGTAGATTTAATGTGACACGATGTACTGAAAACCATACCAGCGCAGGGAAACAAGTAGAAATAACGACTTACGTCGTAAAGGAATTTGAAGTTTCACGTCTAAGAGCTACGGATTCATGGCCATGTGGAACTTTTCTTTGGGATAATAGCCGCTGCTACTTAAGCCCTTGGAATTTGCTCCAATGTTATTTAGAAAGTGTTCTTCAGGTCTTGTTTTTTCTTTTCAAAAAACTTCCTTGGCAGGTGCTTGTCACTATTTCTGCATTGTTAATCTATTTTAAAAATGCAGTTAGGTGTTACTTATGAGCTTATGGGGGATAGAGAAAAGGCTGGACCTGTGCTATCTTGGGGAAAAGCCTTTGCATGTATGCAGAGCCTACAACCTTTTGTCATTGCATTTTCTCTTGCTTTGGGTATGAAGTTCTTTTATTTTTTCTGCATTTGTCTATTTTCCTTAGGCCATGAAAGCCACTTATTTGTTATTTTCTGTCCACTAGGGAATCTCTACAATAAAATGCAGTGTTGGGATCTAGCAGAAAATGAACTCCATGAGGCGAAAAAGCTGCTAACAGATAGTCAAAGAGATTTTACTTGCGGACACTGCAGGCTGATGTTAGAAGTTACGTTGGATAAGCAATTTGGAGATTTTTCTCGAAGACAATTTGATAACACGACTAGAGTTTGCCAGATAGTTGAGAATTTGTATAGTGCAACCTTACAAAAAATATGCTGCCCAGCCTGGAAAGGATGCATTAATCAAACAGCAGAGGTAGAGAAACCAAGAGAGTCTTCGAAAAGGAGGCGTGGAGGAGGTCCTATATTTGTACATGCTTGCGCGATAGAGAAGCAGCCTAGTTCAAGGTTGACTCGCTCAATTAGTCGATCACATGAAGAACGACCTCAAAACTTTCCTGCTGACAAGTGCAGATTCATTGATGAATCTGATATCTGTGATGCAAAGGGGTTGATGCATGAGACTAAAAACACAATCTGTGTTTGCATCAATAGAATAAGTCAGCAACACCTCTCTAACGAAGTTACAAGATCTGGATTGCTGAATAATTTTATAAGTTTGAAATGGCAATTTTACCAAAGGAGGCTTGCGTGCACGGTTCTTGTCAGCCTTGGTATGCCTTAATCCCTTATAATATTNATGCAAAGGGGTTGATGCATGAGACTAAAAACACAATCTGTGTTTGCATCAATAGAATAAGTCAGCAACACCTCTCTAACGAAGTTACAAGATCTGGATTGCTGAATAATTTTATAAGTTTGAAATGGCAATTTTACCAAAGGAGGCTTGCGTGCACGGTTCTTGTCAGCCTTGGTATGCCTTAATCCCTTATAATATTCTATTTTTATACTTTTTAAAATGCATGTCCTTGGAAATTAAAATTTCAGCCTAAAATTTGGTTCATACACTATTAAAATGTATGTTTTGTTTTGCTTCTGGTTACTTTCTTTGCTGGGCCATTTCTTTATCACCAATGGTTTTTAATATGCATGCATGTTATGTTATATTTACTCTTCCAACAAAGAACGGATTACATGTACAGTAATGCTCGACTAGAATATGGGTTGTTCTAAGAGCTAAAGCGATTTTTATTTCAGGAAAAATTTTGGCTAAATCTGGGAAGGTTCATCAAGCACATGGGGCAATTTTGCATAGTATCGCTGCTTTATATAACAGTACCGTATCTATCCTCAGCTCACCATTGCTGGATTTTATTGGGAAGGAAATAAAAGGAGATGTATTTGGTCTTGATCGTGCAAGAATATTATACAACTTGTGCAAGTTGAGTCTTCAAACTCACCACTCCAGGTTCGTCATATTGGTTAATAATTTTTTAAATAAAATGTCAATTTGAAAATTCCACCAGACATCACTATATTTTATAGGTCTGTTTTATGTGATTTATCACATATTTCATTTCAACAGCTGATTTCATGGTTAACATTGGCTTTCGTACTCAGCAGAGATGCTCCAATACTATGTCGTAAGGTAAAGCTTTTTCTTTTCTTTTTGTTTATGTTGTGATAGTGATTTAGCATATATTAAAAAGAGACTGGCTAACCGGGGTTTCTAGCTCAAGTGGTAAAGGGCTTACAGCTGTAAGTACCGCCACCTGGGTTCGAATCTCGGCCACTGGGGAATTAACATTTCGGCATCGCCAGGGACAGAGGACCGACACGTGGCAACACGTGACTAGTCTGGATCACTTCTGTGAGGCCAGGATACCTCTGTATAATTCAAAAAAAAAAAAAAAAAAAAGAGACTGGCTGGTTTACAACAGATTTCAAGGTTGCTTGCTGTGTTATACTTGGTCTCTTCTGTACGGTCTAAGTTCTCATTTCCCTGTGAGGGAGAACTTTCATTAAGTCATTGGGTTACATATTATCATCAAGCCTCTCTTGGTGCTAACACCAACTACTACTTCTTGTCAAAATTTATCAAATCAGGACGCAACTCAGATAAAGAGGTTGGTAAACAAAACTAACTTCCTACCATCTGTTTTATTGTACCTTATAGTATATCCCTTGTTATTTTTGCTTAATAAATGATAAGTTGCACTGATCGAAAACATTCTGATCTACAGGCTTCTGAAGAATTCGACTTTCTCAAGCTTGCTCCCAAAAGCACCGAAGGGCTTGTTAAGTTTGCAAAAAACTTTTTCAATGGTCTACCAGAAACGACAGCCATCTGCATTAGCGTGCTTGGAGGCACACTGTGTAAATTGTTGCAGGAGTTGATGAAAGGCCCCCATGTTTGTGGGTGGCTGCTCTTGTCACGGTTGAGCTCAAAGAGTCAGCAGCCTTTAGCTGTACTTGTGCCAATTTATTCTCCACTTGAAGAAGGTAATTTCTACTATCCATTGGTTGCCAAGTGGGGCGGTTTCCTTTCTGTCATTGTTACTGGAGAGCAATAATAATCTTACCAATACCACCAAAGCAGGTGGGATTCGAAAGATGGGTAAACGATGGAAGTTTCCATGGGGTTCCACAGTGGTGGATGTTGTCGCCCCATCGTTTAGATTAATATTGGAGAACTACCTTATTGGTTATGAGGATCCTAAGAAGATGAGGCTGACGAGTGAGGAACTTGAACTTCTATTTGCTAAATTGCCAAGGTACACATTCCATGCATGAGGAGGAGGTGATGCATATAGTGAACACACTTACTTATATTTGCATAATAGCATATTTCTATTTTAAAAAGAAGCTTGTTGTATTATTATTATTATATATAGAAACCTTGAAGAGTTGTGGTTGGGTCCCTGGAAGCATCTGCTTTTGGGAGAATATTCAAACAGTAAATTGCATGAGACAATGCAAAAGAAGCTGGTTAAGGAGCTCAGGTCCAAATGTAAGATGGAAGTAAATGAGACACTTCTAAAGGTTTTCCTTGGAAATGACACAGACGTTGATTCATGGATGTGGATATCTCAGCTTTGTTCAAAGAATGGTTGCTACGTAGGAGGTCGTCCAAGTGACTATATTGATGAAGAAGAAAATGGAACCAGTACTGTATCTTATAACGACCTTCAAAGTAGGTACCAGACAGCCCTAAAACTGATACAGGAATCAGGAATGAAGCTAGAGCATTGTAACGAAGAAAGAGAACCGATCATTCTTGTGGTGGATCGTGAGATTCAGGTTGGTGGTAAATCTCATCTTCTTCTCTCTTTTTTTTTTCACTTTTTCTGAATGTGCATTGAAAGAATAGAGTATGCTTGTTACATACAACATATGAAAGATATAAATCTTGCTCACTGAATTTAAAGATTAAAGGAGAGTATTATAATCTTGCTTAGTGATTACATGTTGTAACACTTATGTGTCGTTATTCTGTATAATAATAGATGCTTCCATGGGAGAATATTCCAATATTGAGGAAACGAGAAGTATACCGCATGCCTTCTGTGGGTAGTATATCAGCAGTGCTTAAGAAAAGCTGTTACCGAGAAGATCCTTCTCCCTTCCCTGTGATTGATCCTAGAAATTCTTATTATCTATTAAATCTTGATGGTAAATGCCAAGAACTGCAAACCGCGCTTGAAGGATTGTTCGAGACTGAGGGAATCGAGGTAACACATATATTAAAACAAACTGATATAACTCTTCTGCCTTGGCCTTTGTTGTTACTGATTTTTTTTGCTTTATACAGGGAAAAGCTGGAGCTGGAGCTGGATCAAAGCTAGTTGATAAGGAGCTAAAGGATGCGTTGGAAAATCATGATCTTTTACTCTATTTTGGGCATGGTGCTGGTATGGTGATCCTTTCCCCTACATATCTATAAGAAAAAAGTTCAAATTACTGATTCCAGCCATGCAATTTTTTTTGTTTTTGGTGGTGCAGGAGAACAACATATTAATATGGAGAAAGTAGCAAGTATGAGCAACAAATGTTCTGCAGCTTTTCTTATGGGATGCAGCAGCGGTTTGTCATATAAAGGAGGCAGATATATACCAAAAAGGCCTTGGTTATGTTTCCTGCTAGCCGGTTCCCCTGTCATTGTGGCAACCTTGTGGGAGATAACATTTGATATTACCAAGTTTGTGAAGGCAATGTTAGAAAGTTGCTGGAGAGAGAGGAGTGATGATGTTAAACCAGAGAGAATTGGTTTGCTCATGGCTGATGCACGTAATGCCTGCACTCAGAAGTTCTTGACAGGGGCTGCCCTTGTGTGTTATGGTGTCCCAACTGCTATCAGAACAAAGAGGAAGAAAAAGACTTGAAGCCAATGTTTGAAATTTATTTTGATATACTAGGACGTTCAAAATAGTGATGATTTAGAAGATTTTTTCTTCCTTATTTTTGTGTTCCATTTAGTAATGAATTCAAACCGTGTATGACTGATATCATGAAAAGAATTGTTNCCCTTGTGTGTTATGGTGTCCCAACTGCTATCAGAACAAAGAGGAAGAAAAAGACTTGAAGCCAATGTTTGAAATTTATTTTGATATACTAGGACGTTCAAAATAGTGATGATTTAGAAGATTTTTTCTTCCTTATTTTTGTGTTCCATTTAGTAATGAATTCAAACCGTGTATGACTGATATCATGAAAAGAATTGTTTTCGTCCATTTAAAAGATTTGATGAATCAACAAATGTGATTTTTTCTCAAGATTCATCATATGTGAGAACTTTTGATGTCCACAAAAGACTGAGGAAGCCAACTACTACCAATCAACTGTTCTTTAACGTCCACAAAATATTCCTCCACGTGACATGGTTTAGTCTGGTTACTACTGTGACTTTCATAATCATACACCATGTGTATGTCTTAGAATCTGCAGGTCCTTACAAGGTCCACCACACCACTATCAAGATCTACTGCTAGTCTAGACCCACACTTCCTCCGCCTAAAACCATATCCAGGTCAGCTACACCAACTTGCCGTCCAATCAGTTCTACAACCACTACATCAAAGCCAACAATATCTCAAATCAAGCCTTATTCTCCAGCTGCAAAGCCTATGCCAACACCATCTAAAACCCCTTCTGCTGTATCACGTGCTCCTCCTCCTACAGTGAGGTCAAGGTCATGGAAGCCCATCAGACATGCCTGGTTTTCTTTGTGGAAACTCCTCCAAATCTAAGAACAACACTACCAGAAAGACCACTCTCGGCGACAAGAGGCAGGCCAGGAGCTCCAAGCCCTCGTGCTACACTAGTGGTAGCTCTGTTCCTGCGGTTAACCGTGGATATACAAAAGCTAATGACGATGTTAGTCCTGTATTGTGGTTGAAAGAGTCATAAACATGCAGTTAGCGAAAAGGAAGATGACGCAGGCAGCGAGAGAGGTTGCATGTCCCCTGCTAGTAGCTTACAGTGGAGATAGATGAAAGAATGAAAGAAATCTATAAACCGTTGACTTTTAGGATCCTCTTCTCTTTATTACTATTATTTGCGAGCGTCTTTCAAACGAGATTGATTATGATATGTGAAGATACTTTCTAACCTGAAGACTCCTCTATGGTCTTGCTATCTGATTGTTTGAGATAATTTAAGTATTTAACCACTTTTTAATTTTTCTTTTGTTGGAGTTCAAACATGAATGTGATCAAGTATCATCAAACATGATAAAAGCAAAGCAAAGAACAAATCACATAATAGGGTTTTATCAAGCAGTAATAACAGCCGGGTGAGCAGGCGGGTGAGCAGGCGGGTTCTGTTTGAGCTTCAGCAATATCTGTCTCATTCTTGAGAGATCCGTTGGCTTGCCAGGCTTTGGACCTTGAATCACAGAGACTGAAAGCTTCTTGGAATCTTCCTCTTTCTTCTTCCCTCTTCTTTTCTCTATAGTTGGAACCTCTTTAGGTACTAGCTCCGCTATTGCCTTCCAGTAGTTCTTGCTCGCTTCCACGTAAAACTTCTCTTGAGTCTCCACATAGAGCTAAAGTGTTCAAAACCAAACAAACAAACGTGTAAGCAATAGTGTAACCAACGCTGTAAATAAGGCAAAACATGCAGCTAAAATAACCTCCATAAACTACACAAAGTGAAACAAAGCATATGCATCTAGAGACAAATCTTTCAGAAAAACACGTGATAACAGATCAAGTTGAAAAACATATGATCAAACTAAGTGGTTTAAAGAAGACAACCTTTTCTTTCTCTCTGTTAGCTGCTTTGTTGTTTTCACAAGTTAACTCCCTCTTCTTATGGAAATCCTCTTTAAACTGATCAGCTTCCTCAATTATTTGGTTCCTCAACTCCTTTTCTCTCTTCTCCTTCTCCTCAAGTTGAATCGCATTCTCTCTGTACGTAACATAATCCATTAGATCCTCTTTTACTCACCAAACAACACATTGATGATCAAGTAGCGAACTTTACAGGACACATAGATAACATAAGAGACTATATCTATACATCAGATGACAAGGCAACACAAAGGTATAAACTTTGAGCAGAACATTGTGTTTGAAACTAAAAAGCAATAAACTTTTTGGGATTAGATCTAAAAACCTTCTCCATTCCCTGAGAGCAGTCCCCTCATCAGACTCCATCTCTGACGGTGGTGGCAAGATAGGACCGTCGTGACCACCGTTGGATCCGAAAACTCCGTCTCCGTTTGAGTAACCGCCGTAGTCAGAAGAAGGCGCAGTGAAAACATCATCGGTGGAGTCATCTACGTGGACAGAGCCGTCGTAGGGTGAGAAGGAGTTTTCGGTAGTGGTGTCAAAGGAGGATGAGACCGGAGGAACAGACTCCGATGCATCGTTTCCGAGTATAACGAACGAATCATCAAACACAGACATCTCTCCAGGAATTGTAAGAACGAACGACACGAACTAACTCACTCACGACGAATCAATGTCTCAATGAAGCTTGTGATCTGTCTTTTTTGTATTTTCTTCTTAATGGGCTTTTGATAAATCATTATTTCGTAATTGGGCCAGAGAGTGAGCCGTTCGGTTTATTTATGGTTTAGGATGGACTTTGTTTATTATGGTTTTGAATCAATATTGAATTCACTTGAACTATATGCATTGAAGTCAAATAATCAGATAAGTAAATGAGATGGTAAATGCAAAGAAGGGGTTGGTCAAACCGGTTTAAACCGGTTTGACAACAGAATCAATATCATCCTTTTCGGTAGTTCTTTTAAGACCCATGACCAAAACAAAGAAAAAATGTACATACTTTTAAGATAGTGATGTTGCCTGAAACTAAACATTTGTGTCGAAACAAATCACTAAAATCAAGAATCCTATAACTTTGGTTAGAAGTTAAAACCTTAATGAAGTCAAACCAAGCCTCAAATTTTCTTGAAGGCAAGAACATTTTAGATTTGGTTATTCAATTGTTGAACTCTTGATAGACTGGTTATTTTACTTTGGATTAAGTTTCCCCACTCAGAGTAATGATTATGCAACTGACTTAATAACAAAATATACTTCAACGTTAACTAAGAACAAATATTTAAGTTTCAAAGCAATATCCTGATAAGACCCACACATAGGTGTAAAGATAAACGGGTCATATTATCTTTTTACCACCAATACTAATTATTCATTAACTCTACTTCTTAGATACTTACATGAGCTGCTCATGACTCCGTAGTTGTCCTAATACTACTGACTCTTTCACTCTACTTGAGCTTTGACGCTACTTTCATAAAGCTCATGACTTCTTAGTTTCCCCACCTAGTCTTCTTCCTCTTCTCTTCCCCACGTAACTTCTTAACCAGCTCTTCAAGCTCTTCACAAAGCGGTTCTGGAGTCAGCTGAATTATCTCATCATCATCACCATCACTATCAGCATCTGGATCCGGATCCTCATCATCATCCTCATCACTTATCCAGCCACCACGTCCGGAACTCTTGGCACCTATAGAAAGATATTTACATCAGTGAAAACGAATGATTGATATGTTTTATGGAGATGAGTTTGTTATACCTGCAGCTGAATGTTGTGCAAAACCTCCTGATGGAAATGCTACTGGTGATGCAAAGTCTATCACTGAAGCTTCTCCTGCTGGTGATGAGTCCAAGATCTCTGTCTGGCTAGTGGTCGACAAAGCTTCAGTCTGACAAGTCTGTGTACCTGCCTCGGGAACACACCCCACCAAAGATGTTGAGTTGCTACCGACATGGTCTCTTCCTTCCTCAACTTGCTTCTCATGTTCCTGTTCTTGCTCCTGTAGTAGTACAAAAGAAAGATCATGATGCGAGTTAGGTAGCATATTTGGGTTAATAAGATTCAAGATACATGTCACTAAGACAGAGCAATGGGAGCAACAAAAATTCATGACAGAGCAATGGGAGCAACAAAAATTCATGACAGAGCAAAAGGGTTTAAGTAACAAGTAGAGGAACAAATCACCACCTGTTCTTCTTCTTGCAGAGGTGTTTGTTCTTGTTCTGCCTCAGCAATCTCATGGTCTTGTTGTTCATCTTCAGCCATTTCTTCTTCTTGCTCATCTTCTTCAGCCATTTTTTTGTTTTGTTCTTCTGACTGTTCAAGGCATTTGTTTAACAACACCAGGTAACCAGACTCTTCAATCAGAAACCAGCCCTCCTGACCGTACACCTGAAATACAAAGTGAGTAAAACCCTCACTTTCAACTTTCAAGGAAGTAAGTATAAAAAAGGAGAGGTTTAAAACATACCTGAAGCAATTCCTTAATACACCGATTGATAAGACGCTCTGCAAACCCATAAGCTCTCATGGCATCTCGTGCTGCATCCTCTCTCATCATTCCAGCCTTCTGCAATAACAGATAACTCAAACAAGAAATGAACAACCATCAGACTGATTCAAAACTTATATTTCTCACTGAGAGACTCCACTGAGAATGAAACAAAGCAGAACGTAAGCATATCCTACTCTCCCAAGCTCCTAAACCACCAACACACAGATCTGTTCAACCTCTATGTAACAGTAAAAAGCTTACCCTTTTTCTTCCTTTAGGCGCCATTCAAATTCTCCTCACCCTTCTCTGTGATTCCTGAAGAAAATCAAGGCCAAAAACTGCAACTTTTCAGTCTCCGTGTTCCAAAAGCAAACACACACAATAACAAAACGACAATCAACTCAAACCCTTTGGAACACAAACCCTAGAAATGAACCAAAAGATCGAAACTTTTTGCTACTTTTCACAAGTTACAAAGCAGTAAGAGTAGATATAACTCGAAAGTTCCTAACTTTAAAACCCAGAGAAAAACCCTAAACGGTAAGAACAACGAACACCTACACAAGCTTCTTCATTTCGCGAGAAGGGCTTAGATTTAGTAGTGAGAGAGAGAGAGAGGGGAGCTTACAGCGGCGAAATCGGCGGAGACTGAGCAAAATCGGTGCCGGAGAAGAGACCTAAAGAGAGTGAGACGTCACGTTAAGGTCGTTCACACGAGGCGAAAGGAAACAAAACGTCAGTTAAATTATTTATTTATTGTTTTTAGTCAACCCATTTTTTATTAACAACCAATCGGGTCATGTGAAAATTTGCTAATCGTTACTGGAATTCAATTTCTTTATTTGATTAATTAAGCAAGTGGTTTTCATACATTTATGTTTTAGAAAATTATCAATTCCTATAAACAACAATGATTTTATTTTGCTAATCTTGACTTTCAAAATGAGATTAAATAGAAATATGTGAATACATTTATTTAAATAAGTAGCTTCATTTAATGAGTTGAACACATTCCCAAAAGTGAAGTGGATACATTTCAATGATTTCATTGTATGCTGGGCTAAAACTCATTTGGGGCCCATCACAAGCCCAATTTACATCACATTATGTTAGCTACTCAATATTTCCCTCAGGCTGTGAGAATGTGAAGGTCAGACATTTGAGTTTCATAATTTATGGTTAGTCCTGAAAACGTTTATTAACTTTATAGTTACACTGGTTCAGGATCCAAGCAAGTTACCGGTGCAGGAGGATTTGGTGGAGCTCATGTGGTGGTGGCTGTGGAGGATGAATTTTGATTGATTAGAATATGTGTCTTTAGTTTTTCACCAGTTATTATTTTTATGATTATCAATTTGAATTGGATTTTTAAAATTGTTACTTTCTGACGTATATTAAATATCTTTTTATATATCTCGCTTTCTGTTTTCTTTTTTTAAGTTTTTTATTTCCGTCAAGATATTATTTTTTTCTTGGACCCAATTATATTGGTTAACAGTTTCAGTTTTACACGTATTTGCATGATGAATTTTCTATGGTCATAAAAAAAATCAGCATAATACTTTGTTTATAATATAGTTTTGGCTGTTTATGTTTGGACAAACGCTTGAGCTTTGAAGGTTCAAATGTCAGATAGGATAATGATTTCTACTAGAAAGTTTATAAAATCTAGTAGTTAGGATTCTTTAACTACGAGTTGATGATAAGGTCTCTTTACTTAGGGTCGCAGATTCATCCTTTTCAGGTTATGGTCCAAATGGTGGTTTGGAATTTACCAAAATTTGTAACGTGTACTTTCTTTGTTATATATGATTTTGGTGTATTATTTAATATCATGGTTAGCCTCAAATACATATCAACAAAATTAATAGCATCAGATTACTAAGTTTCTATTTAATCAAATTTAAATTACTAGTTTTACGTTTTCTTTATAAATTGTTTAAAGAATAATTAAAGGGGATAATCATGCATCTTTTCCTTGTCTGATTGTAGCACAAACATGCTTTATGAAAAAATGGATGAGACTCATTCTAGGCATTTCCCATGAGAGGAAGAAACATAAGCGTGGGAACTGCGGAGATTAAAGAGGAACATGTCGTGCCACTTTTAATTATCACAATTAATTAAAAAAAACGAATGTGGTGCTAAACTTTCTATGACATTATCTTTTGTATATTTATTAGAAGAAGAAACATGCAGTGAAGAAGGCTTTTGGTGGATAAGGACTTCTTCTTCTGCGATGCCATTTTGTGTGATCACATCAGCATTATTCCAATTTCCAAGCTGTATTATTGTGCTTTGTCAAGTAAAAGTCAAAAAAACAGTCCGACATACACGAAGAAAGGAGACTATGTTTCCATGTTCCACAACGGATATACATCAACTTGGTACAACTTCATAATATATACATAACTTATCGCATCTGCAACCGTCATAGTTTACTACGATAAAAAAAATTGCACAGTTTTGAGCTATGATCCATTGTGAATGGCTGAGATATAGCGGTTAAACCGAAGCAATTGCAATTAACTTATCTTATACGAACAATTCTAATGTTTTATAACTATTCAGGAAAAACACAAAAATAACTAGTTTATTCAAACTCTTGCAAAACAGCTGCATGGTTCACCTTACCAGGAAGTTAACAATCATAAATTATTATTATTGTCTGGTTTAGTGAGAGATTTTTAAAAGAATAAAGAAGATGATGATTAAACAGATGTAAGGAAAATAGAGAAATTAAGAATGTCCCACCAAGGAATATGTATGTTTACTTATTTGGTGTTAGATCTCATCCACATGAGTATATAATACTTGTCTTCTGGTATCCGGCATTTATTGAGGTATTAGGCAGCGTGATGTGTTCCCATACCAAACTTATCCAAATGATCATGCCATCTAGTCCAAGTTTGTAACAATATCTAAAAAAATATCAATGGTACCAAAAAAATCATAACAGTCATCAACAAAATAAAAATATAATTGATTGTTCAGATATCATTATCTGTTAAATTCTTTTTACATTAATATTTTGATAAACTGTTTTTGATTTAAAATAAATTATGTTGTAACTACTAGAGCTAGGACAATTGATGTTTAGACGAGGCTCAACTAAAACTAAGACTGTAGATCATGTTTGGGGGTGTGTACCTACTAGAAGACTACAACTTTTTTCAGATGTACTCGAAATTAAAGTAATTAATTTTTAATCATTAAAACTTGAATTATAAGAAAATTAAAAGCATGAAAAAGAGAGATGCTTTAAAATTAGAAGAATGGATAATGGTCGGATAATGCGGCCGGGGACATGCTTCATTCCCAGGAAACCTGTTTCTTTTGTTAGCTAAATTTCTGTTGACTCTCTTCCAACTCTTTTTTTAATTTTATGATTGAAATTTCATAAACAATAGTCATGTGTTTATCCACAAACAATATCATCTGTAACTAAACTAAATCCATTATTGTCCACGACGATGTATTTGATATAATGTACAAGTGAAATAAAACAACAGAAAATGCATTTAAAATGAACATACTGTATTTGATAATCGCAGTGATTATATATATGGAGAGATTAAATAAAAGTGAAATAAATAAAACACAATAAAGGTAGTTGATGAGGGCCCATCCAAATTGGATTAATCAGCGGCGTAGATAAACGTGAAAGCCAATCACCGTTCCAGCTGTCTTTCCACGTAGGTATTGTTTCAAAACCGTTTACCTGTTCTGTTCCGACCACGTGGCAGTTCATACCGATAAGAGTTGGACCCAAGTTGGTGATGCACATGACGAATCCCACATGTCGTTTTTACCCGCGACATCACCTGATTGGTCACCAAAACGGATGGAAGCCAGGCCCCCGATTTTGAGAATGGAACAAATGATTTGAATATATAGTTTTTCTAGTTGCGGGGGAGAATAATATAAAACAAATTAACTACGACTGTGTAAAAGATGATTAAACATTTCCAAGTTTGTTTTTTGATAATTTAAGTATGTGTGTTAATGTACGTTGATTTTTCAACCATAGATGTAAATAACGTCAATTTTCAAAGTGTTTGCTTTTATTTTTAGCCATTTTCATATTACAACCATGCATTAACTAATGATCTTATTAAACTGCCAAAGCCATCAAACAATTAATCTTTTATATTTTGTTCTTTCTACTGGAATTGACGAGGGTCACTGTTTTTTATTTTCGTATGAATACGTTTGGACAGAAAACAATGTGCAAGGAGAGAAGACTATATAAAGGCTAGAAAGGTTTTTTAAAAGAGTAGGAAAGACCTATCGTAAACGTGAAAGAAATTCTAACAAGTAACACATCTTCTTTTATTCTTAGTTATATAATTATAAACCCATCATATATTATATCCCTTAAAAAGATGCATACTTTTCGAATAACTCAACATTCGTTTTTTTCCACAAAAAGAAAATAGTTTTATGTATTGAAATATACGTTTTAAGGAAATGACTACTAAAATAACGAGTGAACGTGGGTTAGAAGATTAACTGCCTTTTCTGATAATTTTCCAAATCCTATAAGACTTTGTATTCAAATTTAACATTTTGGTTGAAGAAGCTCAAGTATTAGCGCAAAAAAAAAACAAAAAATATAAAATGACCATAATATATAAAATGTTATGTTTAATATCATTTTATGGACCGATGGTTGCTTGTTTCATATGCTCATCTCATATTTGATGGTTTATATAAAAAGAAGATAATTGATATCTAAGTGGAATATATATTGCAAGTCTTTATCTATCAGACTATCACTAACCGAATATGTGGATGAGATAATATTCTTATATATGTACTATGAACTAAATTTGTTTCCCCTCTAAGGATGACTTATTCAGTTATTTGAATTCAAAGTTAAGGAAGGAATAAGGAAGCAGCCAAGGAAAGATAGAAGAAGAAGAAGATGAAGACAATCTACAAACTCCTTTGCATACTTTTCATATGTTTTTTAGTTTTAAAGGTAATAGTAGTGACTAGTATGACTAATAATAATAAGTGAACAATGGAGCATATGATCGACGTACACGCTAAAAATAATTGAAACATCCTTCCACTATTAATCAAATTCAACTATCCTTTGGTTTGCCGTTAAAATAACATAAACATCCACTAAGGTTATGGTCACAAAGTCGAGTTCATGCACTTAAAACATATTCGGGTAAATCCCAAACAATAGTAGTCTTATTCAATAAAAGACACTTATTATCAGGGATAACACAACAATAAAACCAAAGTCAAAGGAAACGACAGCTTCCTAGTAATAACTATTTGAAAATAAATTGAGACCAAACTCCAACCTTCCTCACATTATTTTGGATAAGCTACGCGTCTATATTCCTTTTACTTGTTCTCTCCATGTGCCCTTTTATCTTCAATTCATACCACGGCACTGTCTAAATGCTTATCCACACTAATTAGTCACCTTTTATACGAATTCTTCTGTTTTATCGCTTGGAGACTAGTAACTATAAAATTTCTATGCGTTAAGAATATTAGTTATATCAGGCAGGGAGAACAAGGAAACAGTACAATATTAGCTTAGGGTGCATTGTTAAACAAGCAAATGCATCTCACAAAAGCTGGTGGACTATACACTCTTTTTAGTATCTATTTATTGACAAAAACCTTGATATTTAGCATTTAGAACTTCACTTATAAGTATAACCTGATTTTTGGGGTTATAAATAGTCTTTAACCTTTTGTAAAGAAAAATGTCTAGATAACTAGAGAAAGCCGAATAAAGAGTTTTCTCAAACTTTTGATTTGATATTAAAGTTACGAATCAACGATACACCAAAATTGATTATTATTTTATAGATTTCAAAATACCATGTGCATAATTGGTTGAACGTGTCCGATAAGGAATATATTCAATAATTAACCTTGTTAGCTACTAAACTTTACAATTGTGGTTCTAGAAAAAGAAAAGGTTATTTAGCAAAAATATAGAACTAAGAGTTTCAGTGGGATCTGCTCATAATTAAGTGACAGCCCATTACGCATTATTGACTTTCGAAATAATGCAACTGGATAAACTGTATACATATGTCAATCCAACCTTGTATTCATATCGCATATATATATATATATCATCTAATCAATCTTTTATATAATTATGACTTTACATATATAAGTTGACAAAAAAAATGTGTGTAACATGTTACGAATTCTTCTATAATTTGACTTTCTTAAAATCAAATAAAGAAATGGTTGTTCTAATATAAAAATATAGAAGTAAGAGTTTCAGTGGGATATGCTCATAAGTGACCACCCATAACGCATTTGTGACTTTCAAAATGTATGTAAAACTGCATAAATTTTATAATCATGTCAATCCAACCTTGAATTCACATCGCAAATATCACCTAATCAAACTTCTACATGTTTACGAATATACATATATAAGTTGACAAAAAAATATGTGTGTGTAACATGTTACAACACATATTTATACTCTGACTTTCTTAATATTAAATAAAAATTGTTATTTTGATATAAAAATAAATTCAATAAGCCATACTTATAGTTAAGGGAAAAAAAACGGAAAATGCTGTAATATACCAAAACCAAACATTAATATGAAAAAACTCTCTAAAATATACAGTACAATAGATAAGAGAAAAATTACCAAAAAAAATATTTTCAAATAGTTAAAGAAAAAAAAAAAAGACCGCGTCTCATGTTGACTTTCAAATTCCTTGCACCGGTATAATTCCACACGCCTTTTCTTCCTTCTCTATCCATTACTTTCTCTATATATATACTCCTCCTAACCTTCTCTACTCATCAAAATAAAACTTTAAATCTATTAAAAAATAATCGAAGAGAAAATGGTTGATACAGATTGTAAGAGGAAGATTGTATCACCGGACTTACCTACAAACTCACCTAAGCTCTCCTCCAAGCTCCACGTCACCATCCCCTCGCCGTTGATCAAGCTCCCTGTCTCCTCTCCCATCTCCTGCTCAGCTCCATCATCTTGCTCCGCTTACGAGCTCTACCTCCGTCTCCCTGAGCTCAAAACCCTCTGGTCATCACGTGACTTCCCTCACTGGACAAACGAGCCTATCCTCAAACCAGCTCTCCAAGCTCTAGAGATCACTTTCAGATTGGTCTTAACCGTTTGTTCCGACACAAGACCGTACATCAACCACCGCGAATGGAACCGAAGGTTGGATTCTCTCGTCACAAATCAAATCAAACTCATATCATCCATCTCGGAGGAGGAAGAAGGTGTATCAGCTCCTGTCGGCGATGGACGAAGCTCTCTCAGTTTACTACCACAGCTAGCCACGTGGCACAAGTCTGAATCCTTAGGGAGGAAGATTTTGTCTACTATAGATAACGAGATGCTTTTGTGTAAGTACACGCTCGGTCTCGGAGAACAGAACATAGCCAACAAACCTAATCTCCAATACGACGCCGTTTGTAAACCGAACGAGTTATACAGCCTCAAGGACAACCCTTACGCGGATCATATCAATAACAACGAGAACGAGACTCTCTATATCCTTCACCAGATCATAGAGTCGTGGCTCCACGTTTCTGTAAACCTCTTGAGACGTATCAACACGAGTGTAGACGAAGGAAAGTTCGGAGAAGCTTCCAGAGATGTTTACTTGGTGGAGAGAATATGGAAGCTTCTCACCGAAGTTGAAGATCTCCACCTCCTGATGGATCCTGAAGACTTTCTCAAGTTAAAGAAGCAGTTACATATCAAGACGACCGGTAAAAACGACGCGTTTTGTTTCAGGTCGAGAGGACTAGTGGATATGATGAAGATGTCTAAAGGTTTAAGGGAGAAGGTGCCAGCAGTGTTGGACGTTGAGGTGGATCCCACGGGAGGACCGAGGTTGCAAGAGGCAGCGATGAGGCTTTACGCAAGAAAGAGAGATCAGTGTGATAAGATTCATTTGCTTCAAGGGATGCAAGCTGTGGAGGCTGCGGCGAAGAGGTTCTTCTTTGCGTATAAGCAGGTGGTTGCGGTGATGATGGGAAGCGCGGAGATGAATACGGAGTGTGACTCGGTGAGTCAGATATTCATGGAGCCGACTTACTTTCCGAGTCTTGACGCGGCTAAGACGTTCTTGGGAGAGTTTTGGAGCCACGTTGGGTGAAAAAAGGAGGGATAAAACAATTCTTTAATATGGATGATGTTTATTTTTATATAAATTGGTGATTAGATGTAACTTTACTGAAATTTTGGAATATTTGAATACAAATTCATTTTATAAGGATGTATGATCGCAGTTTATATTTGTGAGAGGCGTACAAAGACTTATGCCCAAAGCAGATAAGATTTTATATGCTCATTTATAAGACTAAGTACAAAAAACATAGACACAAAATCTTGACATATCAGAATCGGACCCCAGTAACTCAACTTTATGCTTTAAAAAAACATTCAGTCACTATACCATAAAGACAACTTTATAGAATTGATACCTATTCAAATTTTCTTTTTTGGTGCCTAGATTACTTGTTTTGTTTGTTTAGAGGAGTACCGGTCATATTCTTAATCCAGCAAATTGAGTGGTTTGATTAACGACTAATCTATGCTGACTAATCGTCAACAGTTTAGCATCTATCCTTTTAGGTGTTAGTATATGGACTATGAGAGAAAAACAATTTCACTATCATGGCACTACAGTTTTAGATGATAATTAAACAAAAGAAACAAATAAAAATAGTCAACTAGATCATCTAAGTTCAAAACCATGATGGCTGGCTAAAATCATATTAAACCTACATTAAAGTAAAATAAACACTCATGTCATGTAACAATGTAGAATATCAATTTTATCCCAAAAAAAAAAAAAACAATGTAGATTGTGGACACTGTAATGAAGTCCAAAACATATGATGTTGGTGAAAAGAGAAAACGTATGGCTATCCTATCCTTTTTTTGTTAGTCCAATAAAATACATAATGGGCCTATTTCCGGCCCATTAGCAGCAAATCCATCTCTCCACTGTATCTAAAAACCCTAAAATTCTCCACAAACTCGCGCGCCTTTTGCCGTTACTCGAAATCTCAGAAACCTCAAACCATGGCGGCGGCGAACGACCACACCGTCTTACAATTCGCGTCTCCGTCACCAACACCCACCGCAACAACCGCAATCCTCACCGCTCGGATCCACCCTCTCGTCATCTTCAACGTCTGCGATTGCTTCGTGAGACGTCCCGACTCAGCCGAACGAGTCATCGGCACTCTCCTCGGATCCATCTTACCCGACGGAACCGTCGATATCCGCAACTCATACGCCGTCCCTCACAACGAATCCTCCGATCAGGTTCGAATCAAAGAGTACATACGAATTGTTAGCTTCTGAGAATGAAACTGATTGGTTTATATATATGGATTGGATACAGGTTGCTGTTGATATTGATTATCATCATAACATGTTAGCTTCACACCTTAAGGTTAATCCCAAGGAGATAATCGTTGGCTGGTACTTAACTCTGTTTATTATTATCACATGATCAGCACGTGATCTTTAATGATTATAGAGATCTGTTTATTATTATCACATGATTAGCACGTGATCTTGATGATTTATAGAGATGATGTGTTGATGTGATGTATGTTAAGGTATTCAACTGGTCTTGGTGTGAATGGTGGTAGTGCTTTGATTCATGACTTTTACGCTAGAGAAGTTACAAACCCTATTCACTTAACTGTGGACACTGGTTTTACGAATGGTGAGGGTTCTATCAAGGCTTTTGTGTCTTCGAATCTTTCACTTGGGGATAGACAGCTCGCTGCACAGTTTCAAGAGGTTCCTGTTGATCTTCGTATGGTTGAGGCTGAGAGGGTCGGATGTGAGTATTCTAGTCTTTGCTTCACTATCAGTTTCTGCGTGCTTGTTTCAGTATCTAGAGATTTTCTCTTTAATGGTGGTGAATGAGTGAAGTGATTTGAGGGTTTTAGCTTTGTGTATCTTATGGGTTTATTGTATTTGATTCTGTAGATGATGTTCTCAAGGCGACAGCTGTTGACAAACTCCCAAGTGACTTGGAAGGGATGGAGCAAACAATGGAGAGGTTGTTGGCTTTAATCAACGATGTCTACAAATATGTTGACAACGTCGTGGTGAGCTTATTATACACTTTAAAGCTAAAACACTCTATTGATACAACCATGTATGATCTTTGATAAGAGAGTTTTTAATGCAATTTCTTAGGAAGGTCAAACATCTCCAGACAACAACATAGGACGCTTCATTGCAGATGCAGTAGCCTCCCTTCCCAAATTACCCCCACAAGTCTTTGATAACCTCGTGAATGATAGTCTCCAGGTAAGAAGTCGCTAAAACTCTTATAAGCCAAAGCAGGTTATAAATGTGATCGTAAGTTCGTAATTAATGGATGTGTTTTGATCTGTTACAGGACCAATTACTTCTGTTGTACCTGTCAAGCATAACAAGGACACAGTTAAGTCTAGCGGAGAAGCTAAACACAGCTGCTCAATTGCTGTAATAAGCTTTCAAAACACAAAGGGAAATGAGGAATGTTGCTTTTGGTTTCAATGTCATTTTTTTTTTTTTGACAAAAAGTTTGCGTAAGATTCAGTCTCTTTGATAAGGAGTTTGGTGGTAGTGTCATAACTAAACCTTGTTGTCATCAGACTTTCGGATTCGAGATGCTAACAAATTAAAAACAAAACAATAATTAACACTAAAACATACAATTATGCGATGTTTTTTGCCTTGCTTAATAAATTATAGCAACAATATGATCACTCTCAGCATACGTAAAATATGTTTTATATATGGTCGTCGTATTCGTATATAACAAATTTATCAATGTGTGTAGTGTAGGCCGGTGTGTAGATGGGTCAACATTAAAGGCATGCATGAACTTGCAACATAAGTGACCAACTTGCCTATTGTTCACATTAATCTAACTTATCATTCCACTTCACCCACCTTTACTCCAATGGTTATTGGTCACCATAGCCTCACCCTTTTCTTTTCTTTACACAAATTAGCATCAATACCTATTAACCAATATATCGATAAATCACTTTTTTAGTAGTAGATGCCTGCTAAGCTGTTGTAGTATGTCACATGGGGATTTCCGATGGAAATTATTTAGAAACATATTTTAGTGAGAAATTTAACATTCTAAAAACCTATTCACGATCATAACGTAACTCATGCATGCGTGACTCAATGGCTAGGTGCAACTATATCAATCTCAGTTCGACTTTTCAACACGGTCGACCTTATATATGTAACCAAAATAATTATAAATATGCATATATGTGTAATCAAATGAACCACCCATCAATGGTCCCGTGATAGATTATCACATGATCTCCATTCCAAGTACCTAGCTAACATGCATGGTCCCGTTTTAAACTTAACGATTCAGATATTTGTAAATGATACATATATAGATTGGTAAATATCTAAAACACAAACTAGACTAACGAAATGTCTCCATATATGCTAGTGCGTGTACAAAAGAGAAACAAACGACAAACATCCGGAGAGACGTGTAGACGATTGACTAAAGTCTACACAAAATTTGTAGTCTATAAAATAAGATTATAATACAAAAGTATGATACAGTTGAAAACATTGTTTTATTTTAAGACATATCATTATTATTTGTCCTAGAAATAGCTACTTTGAATGGTCAGTTTTTATATCTATACTAGGGCCGGCCCGCCCTACGGGCGGGATATACTTTATTTATGATCTAGACTACTATTTTTGTATGATTTTCTCGTGCAATGGTAACCATTCTTCAGATTCTTAAAGCCTAATGCCTAATGGGTAATCTTCAAATTTCTCTTATTTCGGTTAGGCTTAACACTCAAAATATGATTTTTTCTCTTTCGTACATACTTTGAATTTTTTTTTTCATTTTTATTCTTTTGGAATCACTAATATAAATAATGCAAAAATAAATATATAATTCCCTGTTCTAAAAAACTATTTTAAGTTTGGAAAATACATACATAATACTAATTAATACTATTCAGAAAATATATCACTGAGTTTTATATATTGTTAGATTTTTAGAAATAAAATTTATTCATTAATTTTCTGAATATTTTTTAGGATCGACTATCTCATATTAATTAGTTTATTATATATCTATAGAATTAGACTGGCAAAAATAAATTTGCTAAATTTTCTTTTTATTAATTCATTAAAACTAATAATGATTTGCTATCCTATCGTAAAAGAAGAGATACCCTTACAATAAGTTGTTGCTTACCATCTTTGTCTGGTTTGTTTATTTTCAGTTAGCGTGGTTTATTGTTCAAGAGTAACCACTTAGCAAGTCCAAGATCCAATATCTACCAAAACCAATTCAGATAGGTAAGAATGATGTTTGTCATAAAATCAAATGAAAGAATAAATTACATACAACAGTACTGGCACCAAACGCAAAGCAGCTCATGCCCATTCTTTACAACAATCTTGTAGCATTTGTAGACAGGATAAGTTTAACCAAGCACCTTCCTGCAACAATGCAGGAGAGTAAATCAACGCTAACTAATCCATCCAATATGGTTAAGCTAAACGAATGAAAGATGATTCGTACACCAAAAAGGAGTACAACATGATAAATCGAAAACAAAGAAACTCTCTTAGCTATTGCATCATGCAATAGATCAGTAGAGTAAGAAAGTCTTGTTCCTACTGTTCATTCTAGAACCATTTGATTACACCACGTTCAAAAAGAGATTAAATCTGAGAAACTATAACAACAAATCCCAGATGTTAAACTATAATAATAAAGTAATACCTGATCATAAAATGTAGAGAACAACAAAGCGTCATAGTTTCTGGGTGTCAAGAGCTGGAGTGCATCAAGGATGTTTTTATCAACAAAGTTTTTGGTGTACCGAAACGTAAAATATGTGCCTTAAATATCAGAACCTTAGCATCCTAGATTGCCATGACTGAGTCAAGCTTACTCTGCATTTTAAGCTTTCTCTTCGATAAACTGGTCCCTCACACTTCAACAAAAACAGCAGCCTGTAGCGTCTCCTGAACGGACAATAGCTTGGCTGAAAAAAACAAAGACTCAAGGCTTCAGACCAAAAACATTTGACACAAATGTCCGCTTTCAAGATCATCAAGTTAACCAACTAAACTTAAAAATAGTGACAGAAGCTCAGAACAGGAACACCTAGCTTAATTTTAACCTTATGGTGACATACACTGGATGCAGGACCTCAATCATGGTGATGATATTATAAATAAGGATGACAACCTTCAGCAATATCAGAAATAAAGTTCTTAAGGAATCATAATACATTTTCTTACCTCTGACTAATACAGCAACCGAGAGATGGTAGTCTACTTACAGTTTTAGATCTGCATTATTGAATTACCCTTTTCTCGATTGTAAGGCAGCCAAAGGAAAGTTCAGAAGGGAGAGACTGACAACATAAGAACTATTTTTTTTAAAAGGCTTCATCATTGTATCATAGAATGTAACATTTGGAGAGAAGCATTTTACCAATACATGAAAAACAACGAATCTTGCAAAGATGTTGACCTAAACCGTAAATCAGTTCTGAAAAACCAACTGTATCACAGGAATGGCAGTAAACAACAAACGTAAGCTCTCATAATCATAAGTTCCAAGAAATATAATTAAGAAAAAGTAAATAAACTCCATCAGACATGCGATGATGATTCTATTGGTTACTTCAATAAGAACTACTACAGTAACCACATACATGTTGAATAATCCCGCATGGCTTGAGAACAATCACTTTACTAAATTCATATGAAAAAAAAACAATTTTTGAAAGCAAACTGATAAAAGAGTAGAATCTGCCATCTACGGCTGATACTTGTACCTTATTTCCTAATTTTGGCATCTCCACCGTTAGCTCTGACCAAGACTCGCTGTCCCTTGATCGTCTACGGCCGAGTTAACTCTGGATTGGAAGCTCAGGGTCGTGAAAGAATTAATCAGTGACATCCAGTGGCAATTCACCATCGCGTTTCAAGTTACTTGCTTCCCAAAACCTGAGAAGTCGTACCTCAACTGTTGAAGGAGACCATCCCGGTCAGCCTTAAAAATCAGCGAATAGGGTAGATGAGAGCCATTCTAGCGAAATAGAAGTTTGTAGCGGTATTAGGATTTCTGAGCATGATGTGTACGGTACGCGATGAAGTGTGTTTGGAGTGGGTCAAAGAGTTAAGAAACAACACAGTCACAGCTTCACACGGAGATTCTTCATGGTTCGTCTCACTCAATAGCCTGAAACTATGTTATTGGTGTAGATCGTCAGATATCGAAGATCAACATGAAACCTAAATTTTTGTGTCGACTCTGACAAACAAAGAAAGACTCGATTAATCAAAATATCGTGGTTTTTATCATTTGTGGAATCGGAAGAGGCTCTGTCCAAGGAAGATGAGAGACGACTCTCGTTCATTGCTGACGCCGCTTCAAGTTTAGGGTAAACTCAAATTAGTTAGGCCTCAATTGCACTAAAGCCCAATGTCGTGACAAAATTGTATGACTTATCTAGCTGTCCACGTGGACTTTCTGACCTGTCATCCTATGTGGCATCCCTTAGAAGGAGGGATGCTTTCTTTTATATAATAGATATGTCATAATCAATCCCTCGTATAGTAGTTGCACTAGTAGTGGTGATTATGTTTATATTTACATATAAAAGTAATAATGTTAGCTGTCATGAACACATTTGATATTCAATGTATTTTGGAAAACAATTATACTATCTTCTTACTAGAGGGTTGGATTCTTTCTTTTGTCGCCAATTTTTGGTTTGGATTCGATGCATTTACATGACTTAATGGGTTCTGATATTAAAATAAACAATATTTTATCTATTGGTTATCAGCAACAACAATACTAATCTTGATTATCGGGGAACCAAAAAGATGCAGAGGGCATGGTAGATAAGCACTAACTACATTTCATAAGTTATGGTTCAACAGTCAATAGACACAGCTTGTTAGGAAAAACGTAGATGTATTATAATTAGTACTATGCTTTCGGATAAGTTAAAGCGTAAAATGCGAGAATTAACTATTATAGGGCAAATGTTTTCTTGTCTATGTGATTTTATTTAATTAATTTTGTGAAAAAAGTTTACAAACATATATTGAAAAAGTACCAAAGCAATGAAAAACAAATGGAGGATATATATCGATGATCAGATGTCCCATTCCAAATGATTTAAGGAGAGTTGATAAACTTTATATTCTTTTATTTTTCTAGACAAGTGATGAATGAACATAGCTCAAAAAACGGAACTTGAAAATGAATGAAAAGAAAGAGATCATTTTTATTAATCTACTATAGTTGATGTAGAAGGCAGAAAAAAAATGAATATGACGAACACTGCCTTGATTCAAAGTATGTTGATACATTCATTTAGTTAGCTAGTGGTACATGAACCCACGTTTTTAAAGTATATATACATGCTACTAATTAATTCTAATAAGTATATATGCACCAACGGGGTCTTGTCAAAGGTTTGACTTATGTTGTGATAATATTTCTTTTTTTTTGCTAACCATATGTTGTGATAATATTTTCTTTGGTTCTAATGGCGAATAAATTTTGTGTTCAATCGTGGGATAGATCGAATGGTGCCATTTAAAGAGTCATCCAATCCCCAATAGGGATTCTCCTGTTTCGGTGCCCTTTAATCACACATTGGTAATCATCCAAATATGTCAAAAGTG